TCCACGGCAGGGAACGCCAACCACCGCACCGCCCCCGACTCCGATCTCCTGCACCCCAATGACAAAAAAAGAAACTTAAAAACATTTTCAAGAAAATTAGTAGTGGCTATATTCTATGTGTATCGATAATAACAAAATGGGAACTGTGAGTTCCCTTTCTAGTTTTACACATCCCCAGTTGGCACGATGCAATATTCGCGTAAACATCCAGTTGGATTAGCTGTTGCAAAAACTGAAAACTTTAAAAATCCGGAAAAAGTTCACTCGGAAATCCACTCACCTATCTTTCTTAGGGCAAATTTTTGTGAAAACTTTCAGGACTTTCTTTCAGACGAAGGAAAAGCGAAGTTTTAAGTCTAAAGAGGTTTCCGGGGTGAAATGGCTATTTTTACACTTTCTGTTAACTCCCTACCCCTTACTGGCGTTCGGACGGACAGGACACGAACGGCGCAGTATCTTGTAATTGACTGTTTTATCTTCTTCTTTCGTTAGTGCCAGCCACATCATCTAACAGATCAACGACAACAGCAGTAGTTGTTGAAATAAAGGTGTATTCGTATCAGAGCGAGAATTGGATGTTTCTTGTGGCTTAGTTTAAGGATAGGTCGACTAGTGAGCACTGATTATATTTGCGCGTATATTCAGGAAGACAATTTTCACGCCCCCTAGGACAACGCTTGTCGTTTGAATATACATTTGAAGAATGATCAATTATTACATCGAAATTGTTTCAAATGTTCTTTGAATCATTTATAAAAATTTTAAATTCCAGTCGCTTTCTTTGAAAAGGGTCTGAAATTCGACAAAACCTATGAAAGAGGACAATTACTGGAAAGAGTGGTGAATGTCAGATCAATAGAATTTTTTACGGGTATCTTCTTGATAAAACAAATGTTGTTTCCAAGTCTTCACTGTAAAAATAATGATGATACTTTTTTTACGATACAAAAATGTTTTAGATAGGTTTCGTTTTTTCAATTGTTTGTTACAAAGAAATTTTATCAAGCGAAAATTTATACACGTCTTGTAGTTCAGAGTTTGTTCTTTTAAATGAAAAAAGAAATCAATTCTCTAACAGATAGAAGAGATAGTGAAATAATGTTTAACATTCGCACGATTGTTTTTGCACTGTATACTACACTACCATCAGAAAATGTTTCTATGTTATCGTGCAAAAAGATTTTTGATATTGATTTTAAATTTCTCAATCATCTAGCGTGTCGAATGTTTTTGACATTTGAAGGAAAAAACATAATAATGAGAGAAGACCAATTCCATTTATATCATATATAATCAACCCATTTCATTTAGAAAATAAAAGCGTGTTGATTGTTCCTAATATTTATTTTTCAATTGCATGTTCAGACATTCGTTTTGCCCAGAAAATAACATTAAAGGCTTATATCCACTGTATAAGAATACTTTTGCGTCATATATGACAAATTTTGTAAAACAAACTTTTTCATTTATCAATAGACTGTATCATCAACTTGAATCGTCTCGCTAGCTGTCAATTTCAAGTCACTTGAAATATAGTCAGTCATCCACAGAAAAAAGTATACTCAAAAAACTCTAGAAGAAAATTAATTTCTTATGATTGTTTGATTTCGTTAAAAAAGTCGTAAAGTAAGGTCGGCCGAGTTTGCGTTTCAAAAATTTCGAAGAAGAAGAGATACGTTTTAGATCTACAAACTATATCTACAATTGAAGGACTATCAGTCTGATTTGCGAATCAAAAACCACTATCATTTTATCGCAATAATGTTTCTTTTAATTTGCTACTAGTTTCTCATTAATTGCTTACTCTACATCCCAATCGTCTGAAAATTAATGCACTTGATGATATGCATAGCGGGTTTGGATGTTTTATGCAGCAATGAATATTCAACCTTGAGTTTTTAACACAAGAGGGCAAAGTAAACTTTAGTTAGTTTTTAGAAGAAATTGATTATATTCTCGCTAATATTTTTCTTTCATGAAACATCAAACAATATTTACATAGTAAGAAACAGTCTGCTTGTTTGAATGGTATTACGATAATGACACTAAAATCTTTTTTTCATCTTCCTACTATGATTTTAAGTTGTTCAATAACTCAAAAACACTTTTTATTATCTGCATCACTGATGACAGTTTTGATCGGGAAAAGTAGTTAAAAATGAATGAAACCGAGTAAATATACGTATACAGTTGCAAATTACCTTGAAAAATAGAATTCTTCTATTTCTTTTTTTTATTTTTTGTCACTAAGTATCTGTGATCAATCGAAGGAAATTTATAATAATAATATGTGTTGTTTAGTCGGAAATCTACAATAATGTACTAATTTTTGAAAAACAAGGTGTTTGTAAAAGAAACTAATGGATCTGAAAAAAAACATACGTGTGCGATCCTAAGTAGTCTATTGAAAACGAGAGATAATGGTATGAAATTGATTACGAGAAGAAAGTACAAAAAATGTACTCTTAATTTCCATACTTGTTCATAATTGCCATAGATTTTACTATCTAAAATGAAAGAGGAAGAAAAATATTAACTTTTAATTATTTATATTATGATTTTGTCTCAGTTAACTTCATCTGTGGAAAAACTACATTGTAACAGGCGGATACCTTTAAATCAAAGAATGATGATTTCCTACACCATAACTAACATTAACATTGTAAATTACGGCGAAGTTCTAAAAAATGAACTGTTTTTATTTCAAAACTCCCTCACATATCACAAGAAGATTTCCGCTATTTAGTAAAAAAATTGTTTTGTTTTATTTGTTCCTTACACTACTATTGATTTCCGGATACTGTTTTTGCAAAATATTAGTTCTAGCATTTATCTCCAAAATATTTGATTAAGAACAAGAAATTTATCACACCGTTATCGTTGCATACAGTGACCTCAGCAGTTGCCATTATACTTGACACTTTTTAATCCATTCGATCTCGTAGAACTTTGAACTGTCCAAGGAGTATATTAAGAAGAAGCAGAAAAAAAGGAGAAAAAGACAATGTAATGAATCTTCCAGAGAGCAAAGCGGAAAAGCACAACTGTGATTAACTTAAGTAGAAATCAATTTCTTTTGCTCAATTGCATAAGAATTATTGAACGGCAACGATTAATATTTGATTGGATTATCATCACATCGACAAAAATCACATCAGTTAGAAATCTTAGAAAAAAACGCAGTACTCGGATGTTTTTTTCTCTCTCCCTTTCTGGTTCAAAAAAAAAAAAAAAGAAAAGAAAAATCGATCTCTGTCACGCAAAGAACTGATACATCGATATTATATATATATATAAATATATATATATATATACGGAATACATTTTCATTTAGAGAACTATCTACAGCTAACAAAACACATCCACAATTTTTTTTGTTAAAAAGAAATTTTGATTTTATTTAAATCATCTAAAAACAAAACAAATTATTATGTCATTCATCAATACCATCATGTATTTTTTACTAGCAGCTGTAACACTTCTCATTGTTGGTGCCGAAGAAGAAAAGGTAAAAAAAGTTTAATTTTATAAATTAATGTTTTCTGAGAAAAAAAACTAAATATGTATATATTATACTATATACAACAGTTTAGACGAATTAAAAAAAGGATATTTGTACTTTGTAAAAATAAACACCATTTAAAGTACAGAATGTTCTTTTCAAAACAAATTACAGAAAAAACAACAAAAAAGATACGAATATTAAATTCTATATTTTGATTAGAAATGAAATTTTGTTAATGGTTTTTAGTCACGCAAATTTTGATTTCGCCAAAACTAAAGTAAATATAGACATGAAACATGAGACAACTTGAGGTCTTCTATTGAAACATATTTTTATAGAAAATTAATGATTATTAGGTAAATATTCTTTGTTTGAGTGATCGACAATGACGTCTTTAACGAGAAAGAACGTTAAAAATAAATAAATGAGAAAAACTAACCTTGTCTTATTCCAATTGTTTCTCATAATTATACTAAATATTGATCATTCGTTTCCCTTAATATTTGATATTACTATTTGAATTCTTATATATATATTGTTAAGAAAACCTTCATAATTCGTTCGCTTAGACGTCGTACCCTATTACAGAACACTATTCCAGATTGTGGATTAAAATCACGTACTATAAGAAACACATCTTGACTCAATAGTAATAATAATGATAATAATAATGACAGCATAAGTTGAAAGAATACTTACTATAATCGGAAAGTGTTACAATTCCTGACGAAACGTGATATATATGCTTATGCAGGAGAATACATGCAGATATTTTGCACTATTCTAAGTAGCTCTTTAGCTTCTGTCCATTTCAAAATAGAATCTAGACAGCTCGTTTTGTGAATAAGATTTCATAGAAAAAAAACACAGACTTGTGTGTTTTCATCATGTTGTAAATGATACTTTAGGAAATTGTTTGGTGAAAACATCAAGTTTCATGCATCTATATTGTATCTTACGATACTTTTTAAGAAACTATGTTGCTGCTGTGTTGGAAATTGCCATGAAGTTTTGATCCCAACAGACGGATTTGAACAAGCAAAATAACGTCTATACATTCGGATACATCTTCATCAAAATTTCAGAATACGATAAGATAATTAATATTGATGTTCAGAACACTAAGAGTCCTAGTGACTTTCTTAAAATCTATTAAGGATTCAACACAGAACAGGAGGAAGTTTTTCCTTTTTTGCATCTTTATTATATAAGACGAATGAAATTGCCCATTCCAACATATCTTTTACAATACGGTAGAAATACGCACGTCTCTGCCTGTTTTTCTATAGAAATCTTATCCAAAAAGAGCTTTCTAGGTCCTATTTTGAAATAGATACTGTTCTCATTTTTTCCATTCTTTTATTGGGTAGTTTTGAATCTGGTAAACGGTATATGTTAGTAAGTGAAGCATTTTGTAATAATTTATCTCGCTTTTGCATTCTTATTTAACCTAAAAATCAATAAACAGGAGCTAATTCCTCTTGTTGTGTCGAGGATGGAATCAAATGAAAGCGTTGTAACCTTAGATGTCGGAGAATTAGCTCTATTTCTTTTTCTTCTTTTATTTCAGAAACGTACACTTGATTCATTATCCGGTAGTGATTTCTTCAAAAAATCGTTAGATTCATTATCTGGCAATGATTTTTTTAAAAAGGTATTTGTTAACTCTAAAAAAACAGACTTAAACAATCAACAATTCTATTTGTACTCTTTTACTTTTATTAAGAGTTTAGATAGTTTATCTGGAAATGACTTTTTCAAACGAGAAGATGAGGTAAGTGGGCTCGACGACACTGCCCAATATTTTGATAAATTTCAACCTCAACGTTCACTTGTTCTGCCCCTGAATTATCTAATTATATTAGTATCATGGCATAGACTGAATTCCAATGAGTGAAGTAGAATAGTCATTGTACACCTAACAGCAAGGCTTGAAGTTAACTTTTTGAAACAAACTTTTTGTGTTTTTATTTCAGAAACGTACACTTGATTCATTGTCCGGTAGTGACTTTTTTAAAAAATCGTTAGATTCATTATCTGGCAATGATTTCTTCAAAAAATCGTTGGATTCATTATCTGGCAATGATTTCTTCAAAAAATCGTTAGATTCACTATCTGGCAATGATTTCTTCAAAAAATCGTTAGATTCACTATCTGGCAATGATTTCTTCAAACGTTCTCTTGACTCACTCAGTGGAAATGATTTTTTTAAACGAAATGATGATTTACGTACACTGTATTTAATTCATGAATTAAATTTGGCTCATAATGGTCATCGACATCCACGACACCGTTTTAACAAAGCACAACATCATCAAGAAGATTAAACAGAGATGGATGGAAATTTCAAGATTATACAGACTGATTGATATCATGTTTTGATGGACAAACATTTTTTCACAAGTTTTGCTTGTTTTCTGCGCGTAAAAAGGAATATACATACACGTTGTTATGCAAGTCATTTTTCTTATGTATCTATAATTTCTCGCATTTTCTGCGCAAAAATAATAAAATTACCAAATGTCAAAATATAGAATCTTAAAATAAAAAAGCTTAAGACGGTCTACCTTAATGCAAAATCCACTTTGACAAGTTGATAATCGAATTTCAATCAATCCAATAATAGATGGTGGAATGTTTTGTAACTTAGTAGGACTTAAGTTCTTAACTTCGCTCAGACAACAGTGTAAATTAAAATTTCATAGTTGTTCAACTGTAAACTCAACCTTTCGAACATTAAAAATACCCCTCCTCATTCTAGGGCTATTTTTCCAGAAGTCTATCCTAAGACCTTGAGTTTCGACAGATATTGAAAAGTTAAAAAACTAGAACTTCGGAGTGACCACCTTTAAAGCTAAGATCTAATGGAGTTTAATTCTTAACTGAAGATTAGAATGATGTGTGGATTTCAGAAAAACTATTCTGAAGAAATGTGTTTTGGTAAACTTGAAACTTGCGGATTTTTTCGAAGAGCATGTCATATAGCGAGTAGGATAAAAAAAGTTAAGGTAGAAGTTCGAACTGGCAACTTTCAGAGATCAAAAACACGATTCGGAATCTGCCCGCTGTGAGAAACGAAAATAGACGCGAACCTAATCCTTCTCCCTGTTTCCAGACAAAAGTCTCCAAAGTTTTATCTTATTAAAAGTTACGAGAAATTCTAACTTTTGTAGACAAATGTACTCTTTTGTGTGTCCATTCTGATGAATAATCGATGAAAAACTTCGAATTATATGTTGTGTGAAGAATTTCGATACCAGAATAATAAAACCTGTACGGACCTCACATATCAATACTCATATATTAGCCATGCAAGTTACTTTAATCATGTCAGGCGTCACAAGTTTACTGAAAGAAAATCCTGAAAAAAACAAATTATTTACATCGTCTGTTTCAAATTTTGCGCGAGTAATTTAAAGGGTTTCCCTCAGAAATCGATGATTTTCTTAAAATAAATCGAAATTGAGTTTATTGCTCCGTTAAATACTCTAAAGTCTCCTCTTTCAGAATCTGTATCGCTTTCAATAAAAAATAGTTTTTGACGGGCTTTTGAGAGATTTTAAATTAAACCTTACATCTACTGCTACAGTGGTCTTCGAACTTGCTTAACGTTTTTCTCAGAATATGGTTTTGGCGCAGGCAAAATGCTGCTTCGCCTACACCGTTCATCGTAGAATCTTCATTTCTTTTTATTGTGAAGCTGAGATGTAAGTCTAAAAATCTATGAAACAGATTTTTGAATTTTGTTCTGAGAAAAGGAAATTCAAAAATGTGTTTCATAGATTTTTAGATTTAAGTGTCTACTCGACTTGGCCAAATGTCACAGAATTTCATTTTTTCGCCGTATTTGCCCTCTAACTTTTGAACCGATGAAGCAGGCGCTTTGAAACTTTTATTGGCAGTCATGTGTTCTATCACCAGTAAAAATTTGAGAACGTTCGGACGAGTGCTTTGGGAATTATTAAAAAATACCGTCCGTCACGGAATTTCACAAAATGGAATTCCTCATGGATCAGGTACCAAACCATTGCATTTTTATACGAAACTAAGATAGCTACAGGAAAACTTTCCAGACAAAAGTTGTAGAATTTGAAACGAGTTTACAGAATATCTGTTCGTTTTATTGAAACAGGTCAATCCACTGAAAGAAACTTCGAAAATAGTCGTCGTCATGGAATTTCATCGTTTTTTGCTTTTTGGCTCAAAACCAACACCGGTAGAACACTAAGTGCAAAATAAACATCAGATTCGTAATCAGCGTCGGATTCTTTATCTAAAGAAACGTATTTTACTCCTAAATGAGTTGTCGAAACATCTCGTGTTCCAACCGGCTAGAAATTGAGTCAAAAATGAAAGTTGTTGTTTTAAAAAATAGAATGCGCCGGTTTGTTCAGAATTCAACGATGATTACGAAAATGTACTTTTTCGAAGTTTATAATGTAAGAAAATGGGGAAAGTGGATCGAAACTTTAACTAAAACTGAACTATCGTAAGATTATCAAATTTCATGACGACGTTTCTTACTGTTTTCACACTCAAAATCCAACGAAAATCCAAAAACGACTAGTTCAGCAGGTAGGCGGCGAGAAGATCTATCAGAATATCAGTTTAGTTTTTTCAAAGCTGATGATCGGAGCTTATACAACGTAAAAAATGGAAATTTCGTCACGGAATTTCATCAAATATGCAGACACTTTGTTCGCATCATGACGTCACCGGGAAACGTTCTATGCATTCGTAAGCAGGTTTCTCTGAAAGAACGACTCGAGCTCTATCTAGACATGCCAACTATTAACTCAAAAGTCAATCTCGTGGCTATTTTCCTATTTAATTTTACCACTTGTTCGCCTTCCGTGGTTTCTAAATGTTGCGAGGTAGAGATTTAAAAATTTTTCGGGCGTAGATTAAAATATAAGCCCTGAGCAACTGCGGTTTTATAGGTAATCGACACCGCTCTTTCGAATGGTCGAATCAGTTTTGTCCGTTTTTGTACTGACATCTCCGGTTTTGAAGGCGACCGTTAGCTGGCCAAGCCGTACTTTCATTCGAAAAATCACCCGTATCTTTGTACTCATTCTCAAAAAAAAGCCATAGCATTTTCATTTTGTCTCTTGTCACAATAATAACTTGGTAGCGCTTCAACCTTTTGAACTCAAATTTTTAGCGTAGCCTAGTTAGATAGTAAGCGCATTAATATATGTAAGTTTCAATTAAGATCGCTTGTAGAACAAAAAAGTTTTTTCCTGAAAGAGGGAATCTCCTTAATAGCCAGCCTTTTCTGCAAGATACAGCTATCCTTTGCTAGTAAAAACTGCCCCAAAAAATCCCATTTTCTAGAAACTTAGTGGAATCTGAACCTTGTATAGCAAAAACTTATGTGATTTTACTACCTATGAATCCAATGATTACTGCTACTGAATAGACAAAACTGAATGCTGCTAGATTGTTTGATGCAAGATGAAAACTAGTTAAAAATGATGCTTTTATTTACAAGACTTTTTATTGTTCGAATCTTTAAACTAGAAAAGTTCAGTTAAAAAATCGTAATTGGGTAGAGTTTATAAAATCTGTCTCATATTAATTAGTACTGTAAAGAGGATCGAGTAGAGTAATTCCTCTTGAACTCAACTATATTATGTTTACAGTCACATTACTCGCAAAAATAAACCACAAAATTTATAATAAAAAGCAAGTCCTTAACTAAATAAGACTAATTATATTAAAAACCTTGGACAAAAACAGGTGCATTAAGGTTTTATGCGTACTCGTTGATGACGTTTTCAAATAAAAATTGAGATTATTTTAAAACAGAACCTTCCTTACCTAGCAACTAGATAATCGAGTTCATCACAATGAGTAGCGTCAGAAAATGGATTCTGAATGTGCTAGAGCGATGTTGGGTTCTTCATAAAAAATAAGGACTAAGCCAAATAGCGTCGATTTTGTGAAGTTATTTTTTTCTTAGGAATCAACTAAGAACTGAAACGTGAGTTGTGCATTAGGATTCTTTCATCATGAACTGTTGAGATATGTAAAAAAACATATTTTTGGATGTAGCCTCGAGCCAAGAAAGAAAAGAAATTTTTGAAAAAAAGTTTCGTTCGGAGTTGTTAAAATGCTTCTACCAAATTATTCCACATTCTCTTATTTATTTCTGTGAATTACTCAGATCAAGCCACAAGATAATATATATATATGTATTCAGTTTATATATATAACATACGACATAAAAAGAATAAAAGTTCAGATCTTCAGATCAAGGACGCAGGTGTTAAAAATCGGAAGGTGTTAGATTAACGAAATCGGAAGAAATTAATACCAATCATGATCAATTGCTATATCCTCATGCTATTTTTTTCTTCTACACCCACAAAAAAAATTCAAAATTGAACTCAGGAAAGCTTTTGCTATCCAGAGACAAATAATCAAAGAATGAAGAGTTGTGTGAGACACATCCATTTAATGCAGATCTCTACATTTTTTACTAGCACTATCCAAAAATAATATAACATTTTTTTGACATAAAATGATTTCCACTAAGTCTTAGAAGATTTGCAACGACATGTCAACGTAAAGAACAAAATAAAGTTCATACCGAGAAAAAAATGGCCTTTTAGCACTTGTATTGCATAGGCATACGCATGTGCCGCACATGGCCGCGTACATATTCATTAGATCCGCCATAACCGATAACCTATTGCAAAATATCAACAGGTTATTTAACGCTCAAACAGGTTTTAAGTAAAACGCATTTAAGAGAATCAAAACTTATTTTGCGTTTTTCTTAAGACTTTTTTAGCTTTCGCCACGTATAGGAATTCTCGGTAATGATACATCGGAGAAAGAAAATTTTTTTTTTGATTTGTAGATAACACCTATAGCTAGGAGTTGACAGAGTCCGATTTTTAAATTATGCTACTGTTTTTTATAGAAATGAGGATTTCTAAGAAATCTTCCAAGAATTTTTCCGACTTTAAAGTTCTATTAAGTAAGTACCATAAATCAGTAAATGAGAAATTCAAAAATCGGGCTCTGTCAACTCCTAGGCATAAACGTTTACTACAAAACAAAACCAACCCGAGCTCTCCATCATTTACCTGAAATTAATGAGGGGTGGGGAGGGGCACCTTAAATTTTTGTCAGTATCCTTCTCCAAAAAAAATCTTCAGTGTTATTGAGTGTGCTGAATACAAAAAAACACTTTTTCGCGACTCGGTATGAACTTAATTTTTATGTTATCGATACAGACCTTATAGTTAAATACGATCAAAGGCCTCAATATGCTTTAATAAACGAGCGAATGAATAAACTATGACACTAATCGCAACTGTCATCCATTACATCTTTTCCTTTGATAATGGTGACATCTCTCATGAAAAAATCGTGGACTTTGCAGATAAAGTCATCTTTTTTAATAAACGACTGCCGCAGTCGTAGCTAGCAATATAAATTGTCTCATATTTCTTTGAAAAGTCATTTGTGTTCGTACATGAGTGATTAGTGTTAAAATTAACAAATCCATCTACACTATTTAGAAGTTCGATATTTATTTTTTTCAATCTTGAACTCTTTCTCATAATGAGAGAAAATATATACTGACTGAACTTCTTTCTTGTGATACTTCCATGCAGTTTAAATTTGCAACGGTTTGTTCTAAGTCACTTACATACAGTCCTACTGTTCTATTATTTTGTTTGACAAGACTGTCGCAGGAGTATCTACACCGAGACATTCACTTTGCATTCAGACAATCTGACACGTTTGGTAGTATGTCATGATGGCGCAATTTTCTGAAAAAGTATTTCATGGAAAAACTCTCAAAATGTCGCGTATTAAATATTTGCGAAAAGTCACGATTATATTTTTTGTAACACCGAATTTTATGCTCTGTAAAACAAAGTTTGGAAGAGTTGAAATTACAATTACCGTAAAATTACGGTTTTGAGATCTAAACAAGCGAAGCGACTACGCAGTTTTGACACGTGGGTGTCATTTAATTTTTTAACTATTCGCCATAATATTTTAATTTGATTTTTTAGATCAAAATATAAGATTCGTTAGTAACAATTCAGTCATGCAAATTTCAATAACATCTGCAGGTAAGTCAACGTCATGATTTATGAAGTTAATACTATATCGTTTTTTTCTTTATTTTAAGGTGGTATTTTGTCTTTGTTGGATGAACAAAACGAAAATTCAAAAATATATGCATTGAATAAATTAAACACATTAGTTGATGTATTTTGGGCTGAAATTGCCGATTCAGTTGCAAAAGTGTAAGTTTAGTTACGATTGATTTTCATACATTTGTCTTTCTTTTTTTGTTTTTAGTGAATCGTTGTATGAAGAAGAAACGTTTAAACATCGAGAATTGGCCGCACTCGTTTCGTCTAAAGTAAGGAAACGCCTACTTGTTCGAAGCAACGATTTTTACCGTAACTAAATACTTCGTGTTGTATATGACGCTACTGTTTCTCCTTCTTTCATAGAAATGCGCAGAGTAATAGCATGTATCAGCGATCTCGATCAGGAAGAGGGGACAGCTCCTCCCTTAAATTTCTGACTTTCCGTAAAAAGTTTCCCTCTAACTTTCCATCCCGGAAAATGTAGCAGTGCATAAAAGAACTATTTTGTATGTCAACTTTTCTACGTTAGTCTTCCGCGTACACGTGCAAATACAAGTATGGTCTCTTTTATATTACTTGGAAGTCTTTTTTTCTTCCTTAAGTATTTCACGTCTGACTAATTTATTTTATCGTCTCGAGTTGAGAAACAAAAATAAGAGTTTAATTTTTTGAGAATGAGAGTTAAAAGTACAAAAGTTCGACCGGTTTTATGCAGCCGTTACCAAATAAAACTGCCGTATATAGGACATTAAAGCGAAGCTAGAAATATAGTTGTATATATATGTCCATCAAGTGCTTTTCTTTCGTTCAATAAAATCTTTTATATTTGTACTTCACTCTGTTAATAAACGAAACGAAAAGTAAAGCAACCTCCGATAAAATCATTCTATTTTTGCTCCATCACTTTCCGTAAGATATTTTTATAAGTTTTGCGCCACAATTATAGCCTCTCCCCTGGCCAAAAAACAATCGGAATCCCTGCAAGTACGCTGTAATGTAACATTTTGTATGTTTGAAGCTGTAGATTATTGATTTTTCTCTTGATTCGTACAGACGAGCCATATTTTGTTTGTTTGTTGTACTTGTAGGTTTATTATCATCTTGGCTCATTTGACAATGCTTTATCTTATGCACTTGGTGCTGGAAGCTTGTTTAATGTTAATGATAAAACAGAATATGTAGAAACAATTATTTGTAAGATTTTTGCTTTTCTTCTCAGGCTTTCAACTGTACAACATATTTTTGTTTTTGTAGCTCATTGTATCGATAAATACACAAAGTTTCAAGTGGAAAAATTTCAAAATGAACAATCATCCATGCATGTTGATCAACGTCTAGAAAATATTGTCAATAGAATGTTTCAACGGTGTTTCGATGATAAAAAATATAAACAAGTAACTGCATTAGATCGGTGAATCAAAAAGTTATATTCTTACTTTTTTTTGTGTTCTTGCAGGCAATTGGTATCGCACTTGAAACGCGGCGAATCGATATATTTGAAAAAGCAATTAAAGAATCAGTAAATACACATACATCCTCTGGTTACTAACTGCTTTTTAACAGTAACTAAGTTGATTTATTCACATCGGCTTTTACTGAATTCATAACAGTTTTTGTTTCTTTTAGAGTAATACTAATGATATATTATCTTACGCATTTAAAATTACTATGCAATTATTACAAAATCGAAAATTTCGTACGGTTGTATTGCAGACATTAGTGAAATTATACTTAAATCTTCACGTACCGGATTTTATTAATGTTTGTCAAGTAAGACAAAATGTCATTATACGCTTGATTTATGCTGAAATTTTACTGTAAAATAAAGATTTTCTGATCGTGATAAAACTTGATATCAGAGTTTTATGATCTGATCACAAGAACGGCAGTGACGTACCGAGGAATTTTTCGTGGGAGACACACGATCAAAAAATATTTTCTTTCCCCTCCTGGCTATGTCACTGAAGGACGAAGAGTATTCTGTTCCACTCTGACTCGTAGAAGAATGACTTGCATTTCGTCTGCAGTCTAAAAAGGCGGTCTTTTTTTTTCCTGAAGGATTAGAATTTTACCAAGAAGAATTAATTATATGAAAGAATTTTAGAATAAGAAAGTTTTGCACAGCCTGAATAAAGGCTGCTGTCAGGAGGGTAGCAAGATTTTTTGCTAATTTTGTAGATGTATAATAAGTAGAAGAATATTTGTGCAATCTTTGAGCCAGATTCAGGGAAAAATTAGGACATCCATACTTTTTTCTACAATTGAACTATATCGAATAAAATATTTCATTTGTAAAAGCAGAAAAACTTTCATTCTTTGATAAATCGATATCCAATGTGTACCACTGAGGGTGCTAACTGCTTTTTTCTCTTTGTGTCAAAGCTATGCATATTGTAGTATTACTGCAAATTCTTTAAATACTTTTCTATATATTCCAGCAACTTATCTCATTCTGTTTGATAGAATAAACTTATCCTTTGTTGATTTGATACGATATCTATTGATTTTTTTATATTAGTGTTTAATATTTTTGGATGATCCCGATGCTGTCGCTGATATTTTACAAAAGTTAGTACGAGGTACAACCGATCAAATGTTAATGGCTTATCAAATTGGTTTTGATTTATATGAGAGTGCCACACAACAATTTTTAAATAAAATTCAAGATTCATTAAGAGTACAAGCACCAATTCCAATTATTGTTGAGAAAAAAGACGAACAACAAATGTATGTGTATTCTAAAACTCATGAAACGTGTTTTATAATAAACTGATAAATGACAGTTGCATCAGCCAAACATTGAACACAATGGCGAAATTTCTTCTATACGGAATAGCGTTTTCAATATTAAGAGACTATTTTTTGTATTATAGATCGTCTACCTCAAATCAAACCGAAGCCATGGAAACAAATCAAGATGAACGAGTAACATCTCCAACAACGGCAAAAGATGCGGGTACATCTATGATACAACCTACGAAAGACCCAAAAACACTTCAACAAGAACATAAAGAAAAAGTGGATAGTTTGGTGAGAAACCACTAAAACGTTACACCATATTATAAATGAATTCTGATCGTCTTTTTTAGCCTCAAGAGCAAAAACAGCTCCAAGAACGTATAGAAAAAATGCTAATAATTTTAAGTGGTGATATAACAATTGGCTTACATATGCAATTTTTAATTAAAAATAACCATGCTGATCTTCTTATTCTCAAACAAGTTAAAGTAAGTCTTATCCACATGTTACTGTTGATTAAAAATGCAGTAATAAATGGTATCTAGGATGCAGTTCGAAATTCCATATGTCATACAGCAACAGTGATAGCTAATGGATATATGCTTTGTGGAACAACAAGTGATCAATTTTTCAGGTAACTTATTTACGCGCTAGACGTGTATGGATATATACGGTGTTTTTCTCTTTTTTCTCTATAGAGATAATCTTGAATGGTTGGCACGAGCAACGAATTGGGCTAAGTTCACAGCAGCAGCAAGTTTGGGTGTTATCCATAAGGTAACGTTGAATAAAAAACATAAAGTAATAGTCTTGGCTTTAAGGTCTAACGTTGATCCATTTGAGATAGTAATATCATGCTTCCTCATTCTTTTACTGACAAGGAAACATTCCGACGTATTCTACCGTCTTTTTTTGTGAAAACCATTCAAATAGATATTTTTTTTTATGCTGATCACGAGTATCTTTTATTTCCGATTCTGCATCGAGAACTGGAACTATGGTTTCTTAGACGGTTCCTTTTTTTGGAACCGAGACTTTTTGGCTTGTCTTTCTTTTAACAAAATGAAAATACACTGTTGACAAAGCTCCTAAAAGATATATTTGCCTATCATCATTTAAAAGAATCCTTTCGTTTACTGTAAAATGAATTTTATTTCGCTGAATTCTTACTGCCTAAAAAATTATTTTCCGGTTTTAAGCTGACAACGGAGAACTGCGGTTCCTTTCGTTTCGATTCTAAGTCGAGAACCGAAATCGCGGTTCTAACTCTCGGTTTCAAAACCGTTATTCTCGGTAATCACGAGTCTGATTAAACTGGATCTCTGATTTTTAAAGGATGGTGCCTGAAGGAAAAACAATATCGGATTCGTGATCAGCATAAAAAATAACACCTATTTGAATGGCTTTAACAAAAAAAGACGGTCGGATACTCCGCAATACCCTCTCGTGAGTTTGTTGCCAAGATCTCCTGAATATAATGCATTTTAAAAGGACACAGTTTGATAAGAGTATTCTATTTTTTGTGCTAAACAAAAACATTTCCAGTCCGTTCTATAGTGTTGTGAAAAGTTATTGTATTTACTACTAAAAAACTGGTTTCAGCAATTTTTGTCTTTCAACTTTAAATTAAAGCTGCTATTACGTCGACAAGACTCCACCGGCATTGCCAAGCAAAATTCTTCTTTCTTTCTTTTCACACTGTGTCTTTCGAATCAGCCACTCGTTCTTGGTTATCTCTGACATTTGAGGTAAAGATAATTCGGAAGTAGAGGACTGTAGAAGACACATCTGAAATTAGTTTCGGATATTTGCTTTAGTTATTCTATAGTTGATACCACAAAATTACCATATTTTTTAGAAAACTATCGATTTTCCTATGAGATAATTAATGATCACGTGATATCCTTCATAGTGAATATATACTACAATGATTTTTGATATGATGAAAGCTATAGTAGAATATATGAGGCGATAATGAATCAACTGATATAACAACGTACATTCTTTTTGAAAAAAAGTCAGACTATTATCACTTTCAGGCTGTTCTAACTTCGTCACTCAGTCGACTTTCCAATGTTCCCGCAGGGCAGTTGGTTCTCTAGTTTATATTGGTTTTCATTTATTTTTAGGGTCATATTAAAGAAGCATTGAATTTAATGAGTGCCTATTTGCCAAAAGACTCGATGGGTAATTCTCCATTTGCTGAAGGCGGTGGTCTCTATGCACTTGGCTTGATTCATGCTAATCATGGCGGAGACATTATGGACTATCTATTAAACCAATTACGTTCGACACAAGCACCTCAGACAGATGTAAGTCATTAGAAAAATAAATGAAATGAGCTACATGTATGCCTGTCTCGATGATTTACGTTTAGACTGTTCGACATGGTGCATGTTTGGGATTGGGTTTAGCTGCAATGGGCACAGCACGTAGTGATATCTATGAATTATTGAAAACAAATTTATTCTTAGAAGATGCTGTGACGGGTATATTTTCTTTAGGTCATAAGAAAATATCGATATATTTATTGTTTACATACTTTAGGGGAAGCTGCTGGTATCGCCATGGGTTTAGTTATGCTAGGCACTGGGTCAGCCCAAGCTATTGACGATATGGTTCAAGTAAGAATAGGTTTATTGAAGTTAGCTCGATCCATCAAGGTTCTAAATATCTAATTTTTACGAAGATTTCATGTTTTTTGACAGATTTATGACAAATTCGTCATATAGTTATTACTATTGTTTACTTGATACGTTTGTTTCTTGTCATTTAGTATGCTCAAGAGACGCAACATGAAAAAATTTTACGTGGTTTAGCAATTGGCATTGCTCTTGTTCAGTATGGTCGTTTAGAAGAAGCTGATGAGCTCATTGAAAAATTAAATCAGGATAAAGATCCAATTCTAAGACGTTCAGCAATGTATACTGTTGGCATGGCTTATTGTGGAACGGGAAATAATACAGCTATTCGTAAATTATTGCATGTAGCGGTACGTTATTTTTAAGAAAAAAAAGTTATAGATATGTTTATCAATTTAAGAAATTCTTTTAGGTCAGTGATGTTAATAACGATGTGAGACGATCCGCCGTTGAATCACTTGGATTTCTAATGTTTCGGTAAGTACTTACAATACATGTCAAAAAGAAAGATCGACGAAGATAGGTTTTGAATTACTCATGAACAAAATGAGATGAAGATTTGCGTTTTTCAATAATCAACAGTCAAAACATTATCGCATATTCATAGAGATAAAGAATTTTAGAAATATTTTTGAAGTAAATTTTTGGAAAGAAAATTTGGAAAATCAGCTCGTATACCACAATGTTGAGTTGAGTAACAGATTCTGTCTATCTATAGGAGTGTAATGTAATCAAATACTCAACAGTTTTCCTTTTCGAGGAAACATTTATCTCAATATCATAGAGATTACAGTGGATTGTAGCGTACTTTTAGCGATAACACAATAAAATATTGCAAGAACAATCACTTTTTTCTAACATACTCATCAAATTTACAGTTATCCGACTATCTATCCGTAGCTTAATGTGTGTTCAGCTCATGAGTGATAGAGAAATAAGTGTGATGGTCATAGTACTTTATTAAGAGATGAAAAATGCACATTTTGTAAGTCTATTGAAGTTATAAATATGTTATAATATTTACAGCCACATAGACTGGTATATCTAATAGCGTGCACTCCTGAATTTTTTAGATATGTATGGCATGCCAGTAAACTATTAGTCGAATGTTCTATTTCTTCCTTCGTTTTTCTCACGACCATGGCTCAAAAGTCATAAACTCTTCGTATTGTTAATTGAATTGTCTTCGTGGTCTACATTTTTTTCGTTTATGAATTAACATAAAAAAGAGAAAAAGAAACTCTCTCTCTTTTTATGTTAATCAAATGTCTGGAGATATAAAGAAAAGAAAAGAGTACACGATATGTCGTCATCGCATGACGCATACGGTCTTTGTCATTTAATTAATTGTTTTTTTATTATTATGAGAGAAATTTTTGAACTGACATATCACATCGTTCACAGCTTCTCAAAACGAGATTTAACTAATAAATGTCATACGATGATGTTCGTGCAGATTGTTTCGACATGAATATCAAATCACTTTTGACGACATAGTCACTACCATTTTCTGTAATTATTGATTATTCTTTATTAACAGAAATAGTTTGTATAAATTTGCCATCTGTTACTGCTGATGTCTTCTGCCTACGTTTGAAATATTCCTGTTTTGATCTAGTAATAGCATATCATACAGGTTTGCACTCAAACGAGATACAATCCATATTTTAATCAAGTATCTCAGTTGAAAAACCAATATTTCTGCGAAAATATTCGTTTCTCAATTGCGATACAATTTTAAAACGTGCTATTGTGCAACGGTGGGATGTACTAAGATCTATTAGATAACAGACGAAATTTGGTATATAATGTATCTCTATTGACTATCTGAGGAATTATTGCCACATTACATGTCAAATATTGTGTATTTTCATGTCCATGGATACTATTTAACACATCATTTTATCGTTTTTTAAAACAATTGAACAAGAACAATGATTAATTGTACAAATCCATCTTTCACTTTCATTTTTATTCGTACGTTGATGACGAAAAAGCCATATTTCTTGAAACAATATGGCAGGAACGCCTCTTTTCTTTCAAACAATCGAGTTTCTTTTCAAACAATTCAAACAATCACTGTTTCACACTTATATAACTATTAAATAATAGACCTTATTGCATCCTTGCATATTTCAATGTACGTGTCAAAACTGTATCTCAGTTGAGAAATTCGTGACGCCCATATTTTATAAAATATATCTCAGTTGAGAAACGAATGTTTTCGCAGAAATATTGGTTTCTCAATTGAGATACTTGATTAAAATATGAATTCTATCTTAATTACCATTTGAAAGGAAAATTTTTAAGCTACAAAATCAGACGTTTCCTAACTCTGTAGGTTGCTCGACTAAAGAGCTATGAATTTCTCAAAACGTTATGAATTTATTTAATAGTTGACATTTACGTAAACAAGTTCTCTAGTGTATGACAGTATAAATAGTATAAAATGTGTGGCACTGTTATGAATTGTCTTCAATGTCAAATATGAAGTTTTTATTATTTCTTTTGGTCTGTCGTATGTTGAATAATTATTGTGAAAATTTTAGCTGACATTTCTATCTATTCCCTCTAGACAATTTTTGATGTACTAAAGAGAAATAAAAATCAAATGTGATCATTATTCAATTAGAGAAAATTTGATTTTAAACAAGATTTTTTTGTTTTATAAATATGTGAGCTAAATAGAAATGAGAAAGTTAGTTTTGAGATCGAAGAGATCGATTAGAACGACTGTGTTCTGTGATTATGTTGAATTTCAAAATTATTTCAATATACAATTGAAATAATTTTAAACACGATCAACAATATAAAACTCAATTCATTTTTGTAATAACTGTCTAGAATGAATGAGAATACAGTATTAAAATGAATATTACATCCGATCTAAACTGAAATAGAAAAAATTTTTCATTGATAATTAAATAAATTGATACCTCATCGCTTTTTGCTTATTTTTATCAAGTGTTTGAAGGTCGAAGTAAATAGTGAAATCATTAATCAGCATTCTAAACATCTCTGTCTCTCTCTCTCTCTCTCTCTCTCTCTCTCTCTCTCTCCCCCTCTCTGTTCTACTAAGAATCGATGGATAATAAATTAGATTGTTCAATTGACTAGAATCTATCAAGAGTAAACTGCAATACAGCATAGTTGAGGAAAAAGGAAAAAAGGACAAAATAAAATATATTTTATTATATTCGATAAGATTGACGATTGAATTTCTCGTACATCTTCAGCACTAGATTCTATCATTTAAGTGCCAATTTGAACTACATATTAGATAAATTTAAATTTTATGAACAAACTGTGTTGTTCAGAAGATGATAGGATTTACATTTCTTTTTAAGTAACATCAATGACAATTGCTTATTTGATTTTATGTATTAGTCATAGTTTTATGCCTTTTTTCTTTTTGGATTATTATTTCCCATCTACTTATCGCCTAAATATTATTTTCTCTTCTTTCTCTGATATAGTTTTAATTTTCTTGATAAAATCTCCTTCCTAGATAAAGAAAAGTGAAAATAGACTAGTATGCTCATTTACCGTCTAGTAATGTGACAACTAGTCAAGAGTTGAGATGTCTGTTGTTGTTATTCTTACTAGAACAACAAAAAAAAATGTTATGAAAATAATAATATACGAAGACGAATCACATGTTATCAGTCAAATGCCATGAGCGAGTTTTATATACACAGACCATTATTTGACATGTTGACAATCATCGCTTGTCAGTAATTTATCTTATTCAAAAAAACAAAAAAAAAAAAACAACAAAGAGAGGATTATAGATGTTGTTTTGTATTTTGCTTGAAAAGTTTTGACGATAGAAATATCTATGTCATCATTATGTTAGATATTCGCTTCTACACAAATAATGATCATGAGAAAGTGTTTTTTATTGTTTTAATTCTTTCTCATTTCATCATTTATCATCATATATCGAAGGAAAACAATCATCTTAAAAATATAATGTCAAAATATGCGCACTTAAATGTGCTGATTGAGTTAAGAACTCATATATCATATTTTATCTTATAGGCATTTTTAAGCATATACACACATATATACACATACTGGAGAACATCCTCAAATCAAAGATAAATCATTAAGAAGTTGGTATTGGCCACTTATGAACTAAATGAAATAAAAATAAAAGGCTCCATATTAGAAAACAATTTATCTGAGTTCAATTAGTAAACTGTTGAATTGAAAAAATACTAAGAAAATGTTAAAATTACGATCCATTTTTAAATATAAGATAAATTTCCAATATTGAATAATTTTTGAAACTCTAAATCGAGACATGTTTTTGTACATGAGTAGATAGTTTAAAGTACTGTAGTCAAAATGGGTCTTGATTTTCAGTGATTCATCCATAACATCAATTATCATTTTGAACAAGTTCTCATTCTTTTGATTCATTGATAAAAGTCTGAATGTCCTAGTCAAATGTAAAACTCAGCTTTCATCAAGTTTTTGAGATTTTTTCAAACACAAACACATCTACTAGATTCACTGTGACGAATCACTGAAAATCAAGGTTTTACTCGATTCCCATTTTGACTAAGAACATTTTAAACTATCTACTCATATACAAAAACGACTATATTGCTATTTTAATTTCTAAACAACCACACTGAATTGTGAAAATCTTTTTTTGTTTAGAAAAGATTGACAATAAAACTTGCCCTAGTAGTGCGTGTTTTCGATCTAGACTTTCAAAATGCACATCTCTCTTTATTCAAAAGTGTAAATCAATCGTCGAATTTATCTTATTTAAAAATGGATAGTTAAAATGATGACTTGGTTAATTTAGTTGGAATATTGTTATTACTCACAAATAAAATAGTGAAGAAAATTTAAGGATATTAATTCTATAATAATATTCTAATTCATGACGAAAATCTCTACGAGTTATGAGACTTTTATTTTGATTCGTTAAAAATTTATTAGAATAATTTACTGGCATAATGGTGCAGCCAACATCAGTAATTTGCATAATTTCTCTGTTTTTCCACATACCAATATATATACACACACACACACACACACATACACACACATACACATATCAACTCAAATACAGACTCAATTATACATGTTTGTATTTATGAAATAAAGAAAACGGATAATAAAAATATCGTGCAAACGAGCAAACGTAATAAATAATAAATGAAATGTATTTAGTAGAAACAATTTGAAAGATGTATAAAAATAATGGTACTTATTCCCTGTCATATGATTATGCTATCATATTAAGTTCTTCTATATAAAAACAACTTTTCTTTTTTGTCTATGTTTTTGTACTGTTCATTATGAAATTTTCTCTATATATTTAATCTCAGATCTATATGTACACAACAAAGATTAACAGAAGAAGAATAAAAAAAATCTGTTGCGTAACACAATAAAAAATAAAAATGTGAAATAGAACAAAAAAAAGAGTAAAGAAAAACTGTATTTAATGACCGATCGGTCTATGGATCAATCGTCAAAACAGAGAAAAACCGGGAGATTCTATTGACTAGATCACTCTACTGTTTTTATTTATTTTTTATTTTTTATTCAGCGCCCGCACTGATTTAGATAACTGATGATATTGAGAATAATTATTGTTGAAAAAAAAAAAATTTTTTTTTTTTTTAATATTTATTTATTAAATCGTTGAATATCATTGATTATTAAACAATTTTTTCGTTGTAAACGAGTAGTATGTTGATTATGATGTAAATAATATAAATTTGATGTTGAATAATATTGAAATTTTAATAATTGAATAAATTTAATACGAAAATTACGATTAAATATTGTATAGACGAGTGGATTTATTGTTGAACTTACATAACCTAACCATGATAAAATATTTATAATTTGTATATTAATCGAACATTTTTTACATACAGCTTGTAATAAATTCATAATACAAAATGGAAACCAAGCAATAACAAATATAACAAATACAACACCGAGTACTTTAACAGCTTTTTGTTCATTTCTTACCGCTGAACTTTTTGATCGACTATTAAGTATATAAGGTTTTGTTCGTCTCGATGATGGTTGACCATTAAACGGTTTTATTGTTTGTTCTAATTGTAAATTTTGATGTTGTTGTCGATGTTGATGTTCATTATTATTATTACCACCACTATTTATATAATGACGTACATTTTTAAAATAATTAATAAATGATTTTGATTGTTGAGTTTGATCAGATATTAATGGTTGTGTCGTAGCACCAGATTTAATTAATTTTTGTTTTTCAATTGGTTGTTGTTGTTCATGATCTTGATGATGATGTTGACATGTACATTTTAATTGACAAAATGGATTTTTTGGACATTGAAAATATTCAGCATGAGGTGAATGAATTTTTTGACGAAATGATGATGATGGTGAAATACTTAATTTTGTACTTGTTTGATTTGTTTCAGTTATATCATCTTCACTATCATCAGATGATGGTGGTAATGAATTTTCAACAACTTTAATAATACGTTGATGATGAGTACTATTAACAATTGGTTTTGTTAATTCACCATCTGAATTATTATCTGTTTCAATTGAACATTGATCAATATTTTCTAAACGAGGTTGTTTAACAGAATTTTTTAATTTTGTCATTGGTATATATAATCGTTTTTCTATTGTTGTTGTTGTTGTTGGTATATGTCGTCTAAGAAATGGTTTTGCTGCAAGACTAGCAGCTCTTGCCAATTGTTCATTAGCTAATTGTGTTTGACATTGTTTAATTTGTTTTTTTAATCTATTTACTGTTAATGTATACATGACAATAACAATACATAATGGTATAACAAATGCAACAACAGAACCATAGGTTATAAATAAATTATTATTTAATAAACATTGACCATTAACAATAACATTATTTGGATTAATTATACCCAAAAAAATGATTGGAGATGAGAGAAAAATGGCTACAAACCAGACAAGTATAATAAGTCCCCATATTTTACATTTACGATTACGATTTCGTGCATTTAATGGATCTTCTATTGCTAGATAACGATCAATTGATATAACAACAATGTGCATTATAGATGATGTACATGAACAGACATCCAAAAATATCCATAAATCACATATAATAGGTCCCAATATCCACGAACCTAAAAACAGTGTGTAAATATATTTGTGTACATTTTCTTTCTTTATTTTTTTTCTATTATTTACACTCATTCTAAATCTTTTATCTTACAAAATACTTATTAAAAATTCTATTCTCTATAGAAAATTTTAATTGAAAAACAAAACAAAAAAACATCAGTTTTAATTCGTTTAAAAAAAAACAAGAAAACTACATAATAATTATTTTTTTACCTGCAAATTCTTTAACAATGGCTAATGGTATAACAAGTCCACTAACAAGCATATCAGCTAAAGCTAATGAAAATAGAAACCAATTTGTTATATTTTGTAATTTTTTTTCTGTTGCTATAGCTAAACACACTAATAAATTTCCAATAATACCAATAAATGCAAATGAGGTAAGCAGTAATGCGGGCCAATAATAGGACGAATTTGTTGCTGCTACCTGTTCATTTTCATTTAAAAACGACGAGACATTTGCGTTCATTTAAGTTCATTTGTGGAAATAAGAAAATTTTTAACAATTACATTTTTTGATATAATGATTGTACAATATAAAAAAAATATATATAGATATTTTCGATTAATAAACAAAAATTAGCATAATGAGTTCAACATATATATATATCTATATATATATATATATATATATACAATAGAAATTCTTTTTGCTCTCTTGTATTAGACGATGATGAAGAAAAAAAAAAAATCTAAAATAATAAAGGAAAGAGAAAGAAGAAAATTATATACTATCTCGTCTTTCTTTTTTTCTTTTATTTTTTTTCAGTTTTTTCTTTTCTCTAAACATGTTCGATTGGAGAAGAAGAAAATCTAGAGTAACGAAGAGAGAAAATATACTAATAACTATAAACTATTTCTTGTTGAAAAAAGACTTATGCAGTTTAGTTATTTATTGATCATCTAAATTATCTCACCGCTATTTGTTATTTTTTTTTTGTTTTTTTCTAAAAGAGAAAACAAAATATAAATCTTGTTAATGATGATAATTTTGTTTGTCTTTTTTTCATGTTCAATCAAAAATAGAATTCTAAACATACACTGAAATACTATATAATGTTCTAGGTTGAATATTTGACTCTGATATCAAAAGTTTTTTTATAGGTTAATGGGTCTATAATAGAAAAAACAAAAACAAATTGACAGTGTAAAGTCTTTAAAAGATGTCTTTCATCCAGTATGATCAATTTCATCATCATCATCAAATATTTGAATTAATGAAAGAATAAATTTTGGATATTGTATATTAAATTTTTCCAATGATCAGATTAGATTGTCTTTCTAAAAATTTGTTTACCGTTTAACAAGATTTAGTTCCATTTCGTTTACTCTTATATATGTCTCTAGTCTTATAAACTTAATTTATATTACCATGTCATTGTTTGATCAAACACTCTATGTATATGTGTAAGTTTCTCAAAAAAAAAAAAAGAGAGAAGAAAACATCTTAATACTTCTATTACTATTATCGTCATTATCAATAGAAACAGAGAGAGAGAGAGAGAGAGAACATCTTTTTTGTCTAATAAATAAAACTTAGTAATTATTTTGAAAGAGACTCATTTATAAGTGTTAATGTGACTGTTGCTGTCAACAACAGAAAAAATATTCTCCTTCGTCTTTATCCCGAAAAAAAAAAAATATTCGATCAGACATAGGAAAAAACCAAAAAAAAAACAATAAGTTTTTTCATAAAATATGAAAACTAATGAAAAGAAAAGTCTAAAACCTAAATATCTAATCTACTATATTAGGATATAACTAGGTGAAAAACATCAATGAGAAAATGATCAGAACAAATAATAATAAAATAGCATACTCACTTTCCCTTTAATGAAGCAGATAATAAAAGAAATATTCTCAATGAAAAGATTAAAATAGACAATTTATTTTTATTTTTTTATTAGATTTAAGGAAAGATAAGAAGTGTTGTTGTTTTTTCTTTCCAAAAAATATCGATAATTGGCACTTTTCTTTAAAAATCAGACATTGATACAATTTAGTGTAGATCTGTTGAAACAATCGAAACAACATAATTGAAATAAGATGGTGAATGACATACTTGATGAAATAAAACATTTGTTTGATATGACATTCACCTTCTTTAATGAAATAAACTCAATGTAGATTGTCGGAAATGCCATGGATTCTATTCTAAAAATGCATTGTCAGAACTGAATATAGTTCATGTAGTTTAAAAGAGATAAACTATATTTTTATTTACATTTCCGTTAAAAGAATTTCTTTAAAACGGTGTTTAAGTAATCTTATTTCTAAATAGAAATAATTGAAGACGTAAAAATTGAATAGACTTATCTCGGTAGTTATAAAGAAAACATAAGATTGAAGAAAAATAAAAAAGAACACCCATATACTCCTAGAAATATATTAAATGTAAGTGTTTTTCATAGCCAGTGATATAGTTGACCTAATAAAGAGTTGTAATAAGATAGATACAAGAATGTGTCTTAGTAAGTAAAACATTTCGGTTCTTCTATATTTTCTTTACTTGTCTATTGATTAAAGAAGAAATTAGAATTTTGTTGTTATTATTTGTTGTTGTCCTAGAAATAGTATGAAGATAACAATAATAGTAGTAGACTATTTTTTTTTTTGAGTTATAATTTTTCCCTGCTATACAACTAGTAGTACACGTACGTGGTTTAGAAGAATGCAATGATCATGAATAAAAGAAGACACATATCTGTCTCAAACAAGTCAAACACTCGTCTTCTTTATTTAACAATGACCTTACATAATTTTAACAATCTATTAGGTCAAGAACACAATGTTTTACATGTATTTATCATGACAGTGTAATACAACAAGAATTTAAGACTATTTCATGTAATAATACAATGCTTAACTGTCCATAGTCAAATGACAGAATTATTAAGAAAATTTTAAATTTGCTTAATCTGCCAAACAAATATAAGCGTGACGTTCTGATTTAAGAGCAATTGTACTCGAATTAAAACATTCCTCTACAGTCTGTCAAAAATGAGATTGTATGGTGAGATAAAAAAACAAAAAAACCAAAACTATAATGACATATGGATGGTTACATACGTAGAAGAAGGAGAGAAACGGATCGTTATAAATCATATATGCTTCTGGCATTTTATGATCCATTACATTTTGTACTCAGAATTAAAGAAGTTACTATCATTATCACCAATTGTTTTTCAGATTAACAGAAGACGACACAGATTATCAGTATTTTTACAAAAAAAAAAAAAAAAAAATGAGAGAAGAAGTCATTATTCCATTAGAAAAAGAAAGACAGTTTGCTATAGAAAAATGCCTAGAGCTTTGAATCTGACGCATCACCCCGTTAATGGACGTATAGTTCAGTCATTATTATCAGGAGGTAGACGAAGTAGATACACATGTTGAAAAGAGTATAAAGTCTATTTGCGCAGTCAACTAACATTGATGACATGTATGTTACCTGCTGTTTCGAAAAGCTTGTCAATTACCTAAAATGTTCTCATATTGTGGGAATCAATTAACTTTCTTCAAAAGTATGATAATTTACACACTTATCCTTGTTATTTTTTTTTTGCGTAGGTTATTTATCTAACTCATTTTTGACGTTGATTGTACAATACATATACTAAGAAAATAGAGAAAGAAGTTATTTGTTATCTTCAGAAAAACAAAAAAAAAACGTCGTCGTTTACATATATAATTGAAATTTAGTGACAATTTGTTTATGGATTTTTCATCACTTAGAATAAGCAAAGATTTTATTATATTTTTCTTAGTATGTGTATCGGTATCAAATATCATCTTTAGTAACACATTTTATAAAGTTGTTCGAGTTAATTATATCAAATTTAACAGTTATTGAAGTCAGTTATTATATTTTATTTTTAAACATACACAATAGTATGGTTGTCTCACTTCGGACAGCTGTTACAAAAGTAAATTTGTTCTTTTCACTATACTTGTATTTTTTTTAAAGAATAATACTTGGCCAATTGTTTTTACAAAAAAAGAATCATCTAGGGGTTCTATTTAATAGAAATCTTCTCCAAAAAAAAAAACAGCAAAAAAAATGTATCAATTTAGTAACTATAAAGATACAAAAAAAAAATTTTTTTTTCTTTACCAAAAAAATTGTTATCCTGTTTATTGTCGATTACTGGTTTAATTTTCATCAAAATAAAAAAAAAAAATTGATAAAAAACAGAAAGAATTATTTGACATAAAAATTTTGACATTGAAAATGTTTGTAAAACGTCAATTAAATTGTTCACATCTCACTTGATCTATGATTTACGTCATAGATTTTTTTTCTCAAGTTTTTTATTCATTATCATGATAATATCTTATTAATCGAGTCTGTCACTCATGTTTTCGTCACAATTTCGTATTACGATTAACACTAATAGTTTTTTTTTTTACCTAGTTATTTCAATATTCTATATGTCGTGGATGTGAGCGTTTACTGTAGAAAAACGTGAAAATATGAGAGACCTAATTATCTTGATTACTTTCAATCATTAGGTCAAGATTGATTTCTCTATACGAGGCTGTGATTACACGTGTCTGAGTGTAGTTGAAGCGAACGTAAAATAATTTTGTATCATCTTTTATTGACCCAAATTTATCCTACATGGCGATCGATCGATGACTTGTCGAATATAGTAGAAAAATAAAAGCATAGTATTACTCAATATGATTCATTGAGGTACTTCAAGTACCTAGTATACTGCTAATGTTTTTCGCGAAAAATGATGACTGATTAATATATCGTTATATTTGGTGATATTAATATCAATACAGTTCAATTTGTTCTTTTACATGACATATAGTAGAGTGATGCTTAAAAATTATAATTTTACTTCTTGATTCCAATAAACAAACATTACAGAGAGTACAAATCGAATAACATTCTCTTTCTTAATAAAATAATAAGAACCCGTTTAGAAATACGAATTTAAAATTGATCACATAGAAGAATATTTTAAAAAAAGACGAAATATCTACAAAATGTCTTTTTGCCTGTAAGATTGAGAAATGTTTTTGCTTTTCTTTAGTTTAGACATTGTCAAAACTTGTATTACTGTATGAATCTTGATATTGAACAGAAATATCCATTTCTTCCTGCTATTCTTAATGATGTATAGATAACATGATAATTATTGAAAGAAATTGTCTACTGTGAATTGTATTATCTTGACAAGAGTGTTTGCTTCGATCGATAGTATTTCGACTCGAAAAATATTTATTTATAGTAACACGTTGATGTAATTACGTATACATACAGGAAAATTTTATCCAAAATTATGCGTGATTAGAGCTACGCATAGATTTTTCATGCAAAACAGTGAAATGATTCACATCTTTTCATGTAGAAGTTTTAGGAGTGATCACGATTATATCATACATAGTTTTTTACCAGACAGAATTTTCTAAAAAAAATTTTCAGTGGGTGTATAGTGATACTGTTTGAGTATATCCAGATGGAACATTTATTTCCGTACAATATGGTGACACATATTTATCCCAATAAAAGCACGTACCATAAATTATCAGAGAGCTTCGATATATTAACTCACCTTGAATTATTGTAAAAAACATTTTAAGTATCCGATATTTTTGAGATTTTTGATCTGCGTGACGATATAGTGCGTCTCAAAGATGCACGGAGCTCCATTTCTTCCACCTCACTTCGTCGCAAACTTTTCATCTCACCCCATAAAAAAATTTTCAAGCATCGTAATATAAGAGCGAGTTCCACAACACGGTGCTTTATTCATAAAAAAGTCGATATCTACTCAGTTTAATAAAATATTATAACTACAAAGAAAATCTCTGATATACAAAGTCATTTTGAACAGCTACAATTATAGTTCAAGCAAGCGACTGAGTTCATAGAAGCTTAAAATTGTGGACAGAAAAATGAAAGCATAAGGGGTCGTTTAAACGATGGAGTCGATCAAACGTCTATTAATCGAAAAAAATCCCTTTCAAGATTTATATATAGAAGAATTCAACATTCTTTTTGAATTATGCTGACCCTGTGATCTCAGAACGACATGACAAATGAACGGATGTCTCTCAGAACACGTTCTGAATTTAGCTTGATCAGAGATCTAAATAGACTTCGCTATTTCTTTCGTTATGATCTGACATAGCCTGTAACACTTTTATTGACTTTCGATTATTTTCTCAATAATTCTTTGTTCTTTCTTTAATCTCTGTTCTTTTTATCTTAGAACTCCTGAACAATTTCCATCTGTTGTTGGTCTATTAGCCGAAAGTTATAATCCTCATGTTCGTTATGGCGCAGCGTTGGCACTGGGAATCACCTGTGCTGGAACAGGAAATAAAGTAAAAGAGATGTCATTATCTTTAATATTTTTACTCACCATCATTCTGATGTTATTGTAGGAAGCTATTGCCGTTCTGGAGCCAATGTTAAATGATGCTGTCAATTATGTGAGACAAGGTGTTTTAATTGCATCTGCATTGATCTGTATACAGCATACAGAAGCGACATGTCCAAAGGTAATAAAAGTTCTATAGTAGTAATAAAGAAGAACTTCCTTTTAAAACAAAAAGACTAAGTTGTGAGTTAAATATGGTGCACGATAGAGTCAACTATCCAATAATTAGATATAAATTTCATGATAAAGTGATAAACTTTAAAAATATCATATAAAGAAGGGATGGTGGTAGTGATCTCATTCTAGAGGATATTTGACTCTATCAAGCATCATATTTAACTCAATAGGTCAATCTTTTATACCAAAGGAAGTACTCTTAAATGGATTTCTGAGAAGAACTGTTCAGTTTGTGTTCAATTATCATTATGTTCTTTTCTTCAGGTAAAAATGTTCCGTGAACATTATATGAAAGTGATTAGTGATAAACATGATGATGTTATGGCTAAATTTGGAGCAATATTAGCACATGGAATACTCGACGCAGGTATGCTAGAAAAAAAAGAAATTAAAATCGAAAGATAAATAAATATTAACTATTCAGGTGGTCGGAATGTAACAGTGTCATTATTAACGCGTAGTGGTCAAACAGATACAATGGCTGTTGTTGGTCTACTTGTATTTACACAATTTTGGTATTGGTTTCCGTTATCATTATTTTTATCATTAGCATTTTCACCAACATGCCTGGTGACACTGAATCATGATTTAAAAGTATGTAGTTTAATTACTTATTAGATGAACTGAAATTCCACCTGTTGTTTTTAATTTGTTTTTGTTAGATGCCAAATGTTGATATAATTTCGAATGCCCCACCATCCGTGTTTGCCTATCCACCACCATTAGTCGATAAAAAAGAAGAGAAAAAAGAAAAAGTTGAAACAGCCGTCTTGTCAATTACTGCTAAACAAAAGAAGAGGGAACAAGAGAAGAAAGGAGATAAAATCGATGAACCAATGGAAACAGTATGTATAATCTTATAGAAACTAGATACACATTTTAAAAAACAATCCTTTTCCATTTAGGATAAACCAGCTGCAGCTACAACTTTATCAACGACGCCAGCGACCACAGTAGCAGCAGCAACAGCAGTAGTCGAAGAAGACAAGGAAAAGGAAAAGGAGAAAACTGGCGAAAAAAAAGACGAACCAAAGAAAGAAAAAGAACCCGATTCAGAAATATTACATAATCCAACACGCGTTATGAAAGCACAGGTAAAATTAGAAAATTTTTTTCAATTACTATCCATTTCAAAATAGAATGAACTCGGCTGCTTTTTTTGAATAAAAACTGAACGAAAAGAGATGAATAGTTACGGTTTTCAGTTTCTGAAAGTAGACACCAGGACACCTCAAAACTTCAGAAGATACACTATTTCGTCTTATGTCTATAACTACGGGACAGAAAAATCAAGAAAGCCATTTTTTGTTCCAAGGTTTTTCTAGAAGTCCGACTGGAAAAATCGCATCCTTTTCTTCAAACTTTTTCCAGTTTTCATATTAAATCATACATAGAGCAGTCCAAGTGAGACAGAAGTTTTGAGGCCGTTATGCTGAATTTTGACGGAGTTATGAATGTTTTAATATTAGAGGAAAATAGTCTAAAATGGGTCTTGACTCCCATTTTGAAGAAGACACTTTGGCCTATCTATCCAGGTAAAAAAGCACTATATTGGCACTTTAGTTTTTGGAAAACTAGACCGATTTTCCAAAGACTGACGAAATCCTATATTCAAAAAGGATTTTGAAATTCGTTTCGTTTGCTAAAAGGCGTGCTCTGGTGTCTATTTCAGAAACTGAAAACTGTAACTATTCATCTCTTTCCATTCAATTTTTATTCAAAAGAACAGCCGTGTCCATTGAAATGATTGGTGGGATATTCAGTCTACAGAATAAAGCTGAATCGTTTAATTATTTTTCTTTTTATTATTAGCAACGTGTAATTAGTATGCCAAAAAATGCTCGATATCAACCATTGAAAGATATCACCCATAGTGGCATTATTCTCGTTAAAGATACACAAGCAAGTGAGCCTGAAGTATTTGTTGAATTAGCCAAAGGTAAATTTATCATGTTACTTTCTTTCTATCGTAATGTTAACTTTATTTTTTTATTTTATTTTTCATAGCTGGTGGTCCAACTAAAGAAGAAGATCTCCCTGAACCCGAACCACCTGAGCCATTCGAATACCGTGACGAATAGAGAAATAAGAGTATGGATGAGCATAATGAACTTTTTATTGTTCAACAAATTAGGTCAAATTTCTTTTTTTTTCTGTTGGTTTTATTATTTATGCTAATTGCTTTTGTTTTTCTCACTTATTTGTACTTATTTTTAAAAAAAACTATACATACCATTTTGTTGCCATTTTCATGTATTTACAATATTCGTTTTTGTGCTTCGTCGGGTTCTTTATTGACAGAAATAAAATGTCTGAATAGGAATGAAAAATAATGAATATTTTTCTTTATTTATGAACGATTTCGTACACTCAGGTGTTTGGGAATGACAGTTCCAAAATATATGAGATATTTCAGTATGTAAAATGTTTTTTCGAGTATGCTTTAACTGAAGTACGATCAAATCTTTACTATAATTTACATCGAGTTCAATACCTATCGAGTGAGCCATTTTAACTATTATCTCAAATTGACTAGTTGATTTTAAAAGATGTAAAAGACAAATTTGAAATGATAGCGTTCAAAAAAAATGTCAATTCGTGAATTATTTTGTAAAAGGTACGAAAAAAAACATAAACAGATCTCATATCACAACGAGAACATTTCAAGTAGCAACATCTTAAATTTAAGAATAGACATATCTTGGATAAGTATGCAATTGAGGAAAAAAGCAAAATTATTTGATTTTATTATCATGTGCTTTCGTAAAAAACTGTTAAATTTTGAAGTCTACCTTGGATAATATTAGTGAACGGTTCGAGTTCTTAATTCAGAATTTGTAGAAAATTATACAGATTTAATAATTTCGTAAAATTCTTTATAAACTTTCTTTAAATTTCTTAGACGTCTTTAGTTTTAGCGAATTTTCGAGAGATAATCGAACAGAAACGTATAAGGAAAAGAAAATTTATATACTTCCAACTGCTGAACTAAATACTCGTTATACTCTTATACCATTCTGAGAAATAGCGGGTTTTTTTTGTGAAGCAACTTTTTTCTTTTGATGAGGATTGGCTAGAGAGATATCAAATCTAAAACATGGAAATCAGAAGATAAAAGTTCAAAATCAGAAATCAGAATACTTTAGAAGAAAAAGGAGCAGAAGCGAGTCAGAAAAACTTCCAAAAATCAGAATTTTTCTGCCAATATCAGACGATCTGGGATCTCTGATTGACTACTGATAAACAAATTCATAACCAAAATATTTTTACATGAATTAAAGCGGCTGATAACGAATGTTTCGATCCGTTGCTGAAGTTCTCCCTACTTGATTCCGAGATTGTCAGAAAAACTAAAACTATCGAAGAATGCTAATAGGTGGAAAGTTAAACGTCTAGAGCAGAGCTGGAATCTGTTGAGAAACGGCAAACCGGTTCGGTTCGGCCGGTAAACTGATCGGTTGGAATTATAACTCAAATCGGCGAAAACCGGTAAAACACCAGCGAAAAATTGGCGAAGTTTTTTGAAAATCGATTTTCAGAAACAATTTCCCCCAGAAATGAAATAGTTTGCGAGCACGTGTGAGAGATCCTTCACAATAACAAGTCTGTAACAGTTAACCTTAAAACAAGTGATGAAAATAATATCTATCTTGAGCATCGTCTTATTTATTCTGACTGGAAAAGACGTGAAATTTTAGTTTTTTGACGAACAACAGGGAAAAAAGAGCAGATGTTTCGAAAGTTTCAACCAGTGAAATACCGGTCTTTACCGGCTCGATTGACTTTTTCAACCGGTTCGACCCTGTCCGGTACCGATCCGGCCGGACCGGTTCCAGCTCTGGTCTAGAGTACTCTTTAGAGTATTAACACATGATGAAGGACATCTAGGTTAGTATGAGAGGACACGAATAATAAGTTTAGCCTTCAAAGACATATAAGATATACTACTTATAGATAATGGTTGGTCTTAGTTTCTTCATCAGTCCATAGAATGAGGTATCCGCTATGCATTGATAAAACTCGCAGATATCCATCTGTTTTCTATCAAAAATTATTCAAAACATATCTGTGACATTCTTTGTTGAAACGAATGGTAGTTGTCCTAGAGAGTAGACACACGAAACTGAATGAGATAAATAGTAGGGATGGTACATTACTGCTACTGTTACCAGTGATACATATCCGACTCTTGACCATTTTTACCGAAAAATAAAACATTCTTAACTCAGTTGAAATCGATCAAAACTAGTTCAGACTATCAACATATACCGTATTTTACATATATCGTATCATAAAGTTTAGTGAACATTTCAAAAATCCTAACAAAATACTTCAGTTTCTGGAATGGTCTTCTAGAAATCTTCCGAATTAGAAAATATTTTTTTGTGACCTCGAATGTACAATCTGTTTGAGTAAAATATAGTATATGTTGGTAGTCTGAACTAATTTTGATCGATTTCGACTGAGTCAAGAACGTTTTACTTTTCAGTGAAAATGGTCCAAAATCAGATATGCCACCACCACCTAGTATAGGTTCGATATAAGCTTTATTCTGTCAGAATACAAGCGGAATAATATTCTATTATAGTATTCTAAACTAAAACTATCAGAAAACACAAAATCAATTTTTGTACGAATAGAGACTCGAACACATGAACTTAGCTTTGCAGCAGAGCTCCGTATGGACTGGACTGAGCCGAAAATTTTTTGAGTTCATAGACTCGGACTGGACTTAAACCTTCAAGATTGTGGACTGGTCTAGGCCAGAGTTGTAACCGGTCCAGAATTTTCAAACCAGCCCGGTCCGACCGGTTGAAAAAAATTTTCAGACCGGTAAAAACCGGCAAAAACCGACCGGTATGTTAGGTCATGTACTGCCAGTTAAAACGAGAGGCTTCAAAAAACATCCATCTGCGTGTTCCTTACTCACATTTTTATTAATACTCAAGAAGAAATGTGATGCTACAGTCGTTTATATCTGTAAGTTTTCCCAAAGATGAATATGCGATGTTTCTATCTCGAGAAAAAACAGGCATCTACCTGCCACTCAATTGGTAATCTTCAAATCTTAAATTTTTTTACTTAGATTTTGCAAAAAAAACTAATATTTCTCTTTGAACGGCAGTGACACCTTAAATCTGGTCTCTAACAAAACATTATTGAGATAAGTTGAGAAGTTTTTCTCAGCTGACACTGTTCTGATTGAGCTTTTTAGGGAGTTAAAAAAATTTCGATTAAAAAAATGAAAAAGTTTAGACAAATTGAAGAAAATAAGGTTGATGTTTTTTGTAACAATATGATTATCTTTGATAAAAGAACTTAGACTTGCTCTCGACATATTTTATTGAAAAAAATTGTATATCTAGAAAATTGTGAAATTCATTTTATGACTTAATCCTGAAGGGGACTAGAGGGAGTTTTACGACTAAAAAATTTCTTTAGACCGGTAAAAACCGGTGAAAACCGGCCGGATCGGACCGGTTACAAGCCTAGACTCTAGGCTTGAAAAAAAGTTATGGATTCACTGAATCGAGGAATAATCCGTAAAAAACATGTTTTTGTATTCTGGACTGGACTGGAGTACTTTTTCAGAGTCCATGGACTGAAAAAACTGTTTTTCTTGGACTCGAACTGGACTGGCTTAGATTTCTTTAATTCATGCACTGGACTGGATTCAGAATTTTGAGTTCATACGGAGCTCTGCTTTGCAGTAAACTGCAAAAATAAATCCACTGTTCTGTGTCTATATTCTGTACTACAATTGTAGTAGTCTGATCAACTCGATGTTAACAGTAGTCATTTTTTTTAGGATAAGTTTCAGTAGACTATTGAACTTTGATTTAATAGAAATACATGAAACGTCACTATTACTAAGAATAGGAATCTCTTTCAGTATTACTTTAAATCAGGGAACCCTGATGAATCGAGCTATGCATCTAACCCTGTTAGATCTCAAGATAAGTTACAACTTGCTTCAGTACAGAGTTCAGCACGTAGAAGACCTCGCTTTGTCTTATAAATAACGTCTTAGAGCGATGTATCGCCAATTTAAAGAAGCATCTGCTCACATCCGGCTTCAAATCTATAAAACTTGCATTTTGAGTAAGATGGACCATACATGTGCATTATATGATAGTGACTTTGCAAATAACAATACCCGTCTAGAATCTGTTCAACGCTTGGCTGCACATATGATCACACGCGATTTTAATAGTGCAGGATCTGACCTAGTGAACAAATTAAACCTTTCTCTGCCTTCGGTGAGACGTAAATATTTCCGGCTCGTTCTCTTTTTCAAAATTTTTAGAGGATTCTCCCCTGCTTCCCAGGTTCCTTTTGCTCGAACTCGGACCATCCTCAGCAGTTGCTTTTACCGAACTGCTCGGGAGTGGAATACAATCCTACCCGAGGCTGTAGTGAGCTCTCCCACTATTAAAGACTTCAAAACTCGTTTGCTCCAACACCTGCAAATATGATTGTGGTAGTATAAAGGTGGCAAAAGTCTTACAGGTGCTAAGCACTTGTTTTTACTTTCCTGGCAATATGGTTTTGTTCTCGTTTTCATGTTAACGTTTTTTGTTGAAAACTTTAATGTAACATCTCTTGAATTATTTGCCAAAATAAAACAAAACAAACAAACTTTCCTCAGTAATGTAATATATGAGTAATAGTAATACACTACTAAAATATATAAATTACCGTCATAATCGAGTCTAAATCAGAGATTGTGACGTTTTCAATATTGAAAGAAGGAAGAGGAGAATAGAAATACGTTTTGTAATTGCACAAGTTACTTGTGCAATTACAAAACATAAAACAAAATTACACATCAAGAACAGCATTAAAAATATAATGTTTGTAGAGTAGAGAACATACAATCTTATATATATATATGTGGGCATATATATTGTGAGTTTTCATCTATTACAGATGCTCGATTATCGATCATTTCAGATTTCTTTCAACGTACTGAGTATGTTTACAGCAAATACTATGATGAATTGTGGTGAAAATCGTAGAGCAAAAGTCATATCGTTGGTGAAATTTTCAATTTTTAGGAGAATTTCAAAATAGAATAGGTCTGCGCGTTTCTTTGAATAACTTTTCTAACCAAAAAAAGATAAAGACGCGTGGTATTTAATAATCCACAGAAAAGATTGAGGCACATCTCGTGATAAACAAAACTCTAAGAGCTTTTTCGAAGCCAGGATTTTGAGAGTATTTTCGGAAACTTAGATAAGTTGTGCTCGTCAAAGTGAGACAAAATAGTGTTTTGTATGTTCTTTTGTTCTAATTAAATTAATTCATGCAGCGTGTATACAAATGTAGATCAGTTTATTAAAACTTATTGCACCATATGCATCTCATAGGTTTGACTTTGAAAGAAATTTAAGATGGTTGACTAAGCAGCAATATATGAACACTAATTGTTTGATAAAAGCAGCATCCATATTTTATTCAATTAAAATTAATATTACTCAACGTTTTGACTGTCCGTCCATACAGTCATTTTCAAGAGAACGTACTGTACATGAAAATTAAGTTAAACAGAATAAGAATTTCTAAGCTAAGTAGTATTTTTTTCAAAGTTCGACCTTGTAAAAGATAGAAATCATTTATAGTTGAATTAGTGAATATTTATTATCAAACATGACGGTTTATCGAGCACTTATCCACATTATTAAAATAATAAACAACAATTTAAAGGGAAAGGTTAAAATACAGATACAATTTTCGATACAATCAAACAGCAAACATAATTTTGAATATTGTACGAAAATTCAACATATTGATGATAATTAAGCGATTTAAGTATTTTGTAGAAGATTAGAGATATCTCTCGGAAAAACATCTATGCTCAGTTTTTATTATAATAAAATTATTCTATCATATTTAGTTAAACAATGGAATTTTCCAAAAATCCTCCAGAAGAGCAGATCGAAGAACTAGCTGTTCTTCAGTCAATATTCGATAAGGATTTTCAACAATTTGATCTTCGTAATTTTGAAGTTGTCATTCGATTTGATCTAGTATTATCACCAATAACGATTCGTCTACAATCCCGTTCACATGTTATTCATCATTTTCCACCGTTAAATTTGGTTATTCAATATCCACAAGATTATCCAAAATACCATCCACCTATATTCATTCTTTTACATAATTTTTTATCAAAAACACAATTGACAATATTATGTTTCCAATTAGATCGCATATGGCAACAGCAATCGCCAATGAATGTGATTGTTTACAAATGGATTGAATTTCTGAAAGATGAATCAATGAATCTACTATGTAATAGAGAATTAGTGTTGACCGACCTAACCACTATAGATGAATCGTCAAATGATTCTCGAGCAGTGACTACATATGATAATCAATATGCTAAAAGAATATTTGAACAGTTACTAGAATATAACAGAGAACAAAATCATTTAATTTTTCAACACTCTGTTCATTTATGTGAAATATGTTTGGAACAGTATATGGGGGATAAATGTGTACAATTTCAAAAATGTTCGCACTATTATTGTTTACAATGCCTGAATCAGTATGCAAAAGAACATATGAATACTGGAACAATTAATTGTCCACATAGTGAATGTCTTGAAACACTTTTGCCATCTGAAGTTCGTCGAATATTAAACGATACCAAATTGTATGAGAAATATGAACGATTTCAATTTGAAAAGGGTCTGGAAAAGTTGAACGATATTGTTTGGTGTCCTCGATGTCAAAAACCGGTCAGTTTCGATGTTGATTCATCATTGGCAATATGTTTACAATGTCAATTTACATTTTGTTTAAAATGTAGAGATGTCTGGCATCCTCAAATAGAGTGTCCAAAAACTTTGCAAATTAAAAATCTAAAAGTCAAATCTAAAAATAACAAAATTCATCAAGATCAGGAGATGACCATATACAAGGAGATATTGTCAGCGGAAATAATCGAAGTAAATACAAAACCATGTCCAAACTGTAACATCCGAATTGAGAAAAATGGGGGATGCAATCATATGATTTGTACTAAATGTAAAATACATTTCTGTTGGACATGTGGATGGCATAATTTTATACTTACAGGTCATACTTGTGCACCAAATAAATTTTACGGTCGAGATGCTGCAAGCAATTTTCATCTTCAAGAGCAAGTATTGTCACTACATGATAATGAAATCAGAGAAATAATGGAACAATACGACACAGATAAACCAAGTGTTATTGGAACAACTCTGTCATCACGAATTAAAATGTGTCCAAATTGTCAAAAATTACATGTTAAAATTGGTACACACAATATGTTATCGTGTCAACAATGTAATCGATCATTTTGTTTTCTATGTGGTGAACCCTGTTTTGGTAAATATCATTTTTCTCCATATGGATGTCAAGAACATACCACACATACAAACATATTCTCTGATAAAACCGAGTCGATTGCATAACGCATTAAAATTTCTCTCCAGAGTACAAATAATAGGAGATCTCGAGAGTTTTTGATTTACAACATATCATGGTATGTCAAAATTTCTTATACATGCATGAAAATCTCTCGTTGATTCGTGAATACATGACAAAGTAAATTTTTTCGATTTTTCGTTCTTATCCGGATAAATTAGCAATGCTAAATACATTCATTCATCATTTCATTTTCCTGTTTCACGTCACATTTTTAAAATCAACTTATATCGTTAGCTCTAATTATTTATATTTTTCATAATGTCTAGTCATAATGAATCATGATCAGTAAATTGAATAAAGTTCTATGATGAAGAAAATTAGTCCGATTGGTTTGAAAAATTATCTAGATTCAATGATACGATTGATATTGAAGGATAAGATGAAATTGATGAACAAAAATATAGATTTTACAGTTTAAAACATATGTAGAAAACTGTTCTTCATTCATTCGCAAATTCTGAGGAGGATAGACATAAATAGTGGGGAACTAGACATGCAAAAATAAATTTTCCCTTGAATAGTGATATTCTATTATGCAGAAAAGTAGAGTGATACGTTCCGCATGATTTGATCTAATCTGTTATTTCAAGTATTTGCAAACTGAAAAAAACGTCGGAAAAAAACAGTACTGTGTGACCTTGCTGGAAAGGTTACTTTTCTGTCCGTCTGACTTTGATTCATTTGCGCACGAAATCTGCAATCGAGCATTTTGAACAAAAATGTACATGTATAAATGCTGCCCAGAGAAGCTTACGTTATCCTATCAGCACTATTATCCATTTCAAAATATAACAGACAAATCTCTTTTCAGAATAACGTTTGATACACAAACGATAAAGAGATGGGGTTTTCGCCAGTTTATAGACGACACTGGGGGAAACCTATTGGTAAAAATAACAGGTCCAAAATCCTATCTGTATGTGGTGTACTTGATGGATCTTCCGTAGACAACGCTGCCGGATCCTTGATATCCATAGCAACATATAATTTCAAAATATGAAGAATATACACTGACATCTATACGCCACATCCACGCAAGTCCGATCCCTCCATCTATCACCGTTCGGACGTGGTAGAATTTCTCTGAAGGCACCCCTATCAGGCGACCTTGATGTCTGGTAATCTCGGAAGGGAATTGAGCATAGGTTTTCGACCATTCTAAATCTCGGGACAATGTTTGTTTTTAGAAAAAACTTCAAAAACCTAGTGGAAACCTATACGATGTGAAATAATGCATTTTTCACTATTTTCACTGAAATCGATTAAGACTACTTCAAAATATCAAGATACACTCTATACTCTGTTTTATCTTCTCAACCTGTTTTGTACTTAAGATTGATAACAAAACATTACCTTACTTCGTAAGATTTCTAGAAAATCTTTCAAAAATCAAAGTATTTTCTACTGAATTTTTAGTGAACATCAAGGTGTGGTGCAGATAGAATGGAGTATATCTTGATATTCTGAAGTAGTATGGATCGACTTCGAGTGAATAATGAATTTTTTAATGTTTTGTGAAAGTAATGAAAAATGCATTATTTCACATAGTATAGGTTTCCACTAAAGTTTTGAAGGTTTTTCTAAAAACAAGCATTGTCCCGAGATTTAAAATAGTCGAAAACCTATGCTCAATTCACTTCTGAGATTATCAGACATCATGATCGCCTGATGAGGTACCTTCGGAGAAATTCTTCCCCAGCGTCTTCTATAACTGGCGAAAACCTCATCTCTTTATCGTTTGTGTATCAAACGTTATTCTGAAAAGGGTTTTGTGTATTGTATTTTGAAATGAATAATAGTTCAAAAGAAAACCCATCTTTTAAGTTATCAGACTTACTCCATCATGTGACAATGTTATTTTACTACTATATTTTTTTATAAAGAAATATAAACTTTTCACTTATATTCAACCTTACTTTTCAATAAATAATGTGACGGTTTCTAGGTCATATGTAGTGTAATCGGGATACTTTTATTATTTTCAGTACTCTGAATGGTCTGAACGTGCTCATTCAAATAAAAGATTTAGATTTAGAAACGCTTAGATAACGTTTAAATTTGATTGGTGATAAAATCAGAGTAAGTTTTAATAGGATGAGGTTAATGCTGAAACTCAAGCGTTTAAGACCATAGCTAATCAAAATTTGACCATGGTTGTGCGTGAAGATAACGTCTCCCACGTTTAAACTCAAGTCCAGATAAGTATCATTGATGGGATTACTAATTTTCCGTACTTATATGTGCGTTAGTTTCTCGAAATATAAAATGATTAATATCATTTTATAAGCTGATATCATTTTAAGCTGTGTTGTACGTCACAACATAGTGAGTATACAATCAGACGGGTGATCCGAGGCACTAAGACATAAGTAACTTGTCCAAGATTATTACATGACTTTGCCAGTGCCGAGGGTCGAACATTGTATTTTTGAAGTACGTGACGAACAACATCACCATCAAGCCATGCTTACATTCGCTGACTTTACTGTTTCTATTAGTAGTAGCCATTTTATTTATGAATCACAACTTTTTGAAATCTATCACTGTAAAACTAGGATTTTTATACACTGATCTTCAGTAGAATTTTAGAAAGAAGCGAAACGCTTCATGCATGAGATAGAACAGCTATCTCATTCAGGTATAAGGGAACTACTCATTCTCGATCATATAATACATATTTTTGAAAAAACATATTAGTCCTATATACGTGCAAACATTAACAGTCAAGAATATATCGCAGTTTTACGATGTTTTTGTTATTCACATCATGTGCCGAGAGAGCTCATTTAAAAATGTAATTAAGAATATGAGATCCCTTTGTGCGAAAAGAAAATTCGAGTTATGAAAATAACATACGTATAGGTAAAAACATTTTTGCTTGATAAGCTAAAAAAATTTACATAATTGGTAGAGGAATACATTGTAGAGCTGTAGGCTGAGTGATCATGTATTGTCCGGGCGTAGCAATTACATATTGTCCTTGCATTGGATCAAGGGAAATCAGGGGCGCTGACATTTGTCCACCAGCAAGAATTGATACTGGTGCAGCAGCTCCGCCGTAGGTTAGTGCGGGACTATATTGTTGTCCAAGTGGAACTATCGATATGCCCTGATACGGATTTTGTAGTTGATAACCCCCACCTAAACCACCTAAACCACCGCCACCTAATAGGTCGAGTGGCTGTTGTAAAAAACCTGTTAGTTCATTCGGGTTTCCCTTCAAAACTTCTTTAAATCCACCAATAAATTCTGGAAAATCAATCGAACCATCATGATTACGATCAAATCTCATAAATAAATTCTCTATCATACGATCAACCTGTTCGTTATTTATATCAACTAGTGCATCACGTAATAATTGACGAAAAACAACTCGATCTAATTTACCACCACGCGATAAATTCATAAATTCTCGATGTAACATGGCTACGTCGGACGTGTTTAACCCTGCTATATGTGCAAACGAGGCATAATCAGTGTCTCTTAAATTACCCATACCACCTGTGCCACCAATACCGCCAAGTCCACCAAGTCCACCAAGTCCACCAAGTCCACCAATGCCTGACCCGATACCAGTATTAAGAGCACTGTATCCTGGGTTTTGTCCCCCGTCAAGTAAATTTCTAATAGCGGGGCTCGGTGGTCCATATTGATTAATTAAAGGTAGTTGTTGATTATAAAGACTTGGTTGACCGAGATTTGGTTGACCAAAACGATATGGCAGTTGCTGTTGCATTTGATTCAATTGGTTTTGTAGTAACACTATTTGCTGCTGCTGTTGTTGTTGAAGTGGCGTTAATGGGACGTTACCAGCTATAACAGGAGCTACAACTCCCGGTCGACCACCAATTAATGGTGATGCTGTGTAAGGAGAAGCTCCAATGCCAGTATTTGGAAGCACCGGCGGATTCGTCACAGGACGAGACCTGGGTCTTGAATTCCCACCACCCATTTTAAGACTATTTCAAAATTTTCTCACAAATTTTTCTGATATTTTTCTCGAATCACACCATGCTACTGTTGTTTTGTAAAATATATTTTTTATGCATATTTAAAAACATTTATCACGAAGAACCATTACCTACACAAGGTTTACGCTTGATTGAACCGTATACGTCTATTGTCTTATTGATAAAAAGGACATTTTTCTTGTTCGTTAAGCAATCGTATGCACTGTATACACAAAGCCTTCGATACACAATAAGCACAAGGTCGTCCGTAAAACAAGTTACGAAAAAGAAAACAACTTTTATACTCTATTATCATACCACTTTGAGAAAAAACACGAAACGGAGAATGTCAAAAAATAATTTGTCTTCAGGTGATATCATCTTGGTTGTGTTAACCATCCTGCCGTTAAATCGTGAGCACAAATATATCAGTTTCATTGACATTCACGATCAAGGATGTCTTTAAGATTGCGTATTATAGTCAAAATATCAGGATTTAATCAATATTATAAAGACTTATAAAAACAATGTGAAATGTTCCTCGCAACAATAGCGGTACGTTGTTAAAATACATTAAACAGAGGTAGATTCACATCTGATTGTTATCAAAGAATGATTATGTTGATAATCAAGAAGACTTTTCTTAATATTTGTAAATTGCATTTGAATCATTTGTTCTGATAAGAGTTATAGTATTTGGTTGTTGTCGTTACAAGTTTTATCCACAACATCTAAATATACACGCTTTATCTTATCCATTCGCTTACCAGTCGGTAACAGAAATCAATGTTACCTGCAAATAAGAGAACTGGAGTCACACAAAAGTTATATAAAAAAATTGATAAGTTTTTTCCTGATCTTGTACGACATATATCGTCGTTAAAGGTCTTTAAGGGCCCTCCCCACTCAAAAACATCGATTTTGAGATTTATACATGGTTCGATAGTCCAAGATGTACACTATTCGAATCCATGCTAGTTTGGGCTTCTCATCGAAGGTTTCTGAGAGATTTTGAAAAGATTTTCTAAAAGCCTTAAAAACTGACTTTTTGAAATATTGTGCTGTACACATAGTACAGCGAAGCCAAAAATATTTCCATTAATGTCAGATTGTAAAGCAAACAGTTCTGATCGAAACAAGACGTCTTTCGCCTCTGCAAGGTGATTTTGTTGAAAGTTATGAGTGTTCTTCGAGAGGCCCTAGAATATGCACCATACACTAATGTCATTATATCTCAAAAGCGTTTTTTTATTTAAGATTTGTCACCATTTATAAGATTTCTCTATTTTAAACTCTAGAAATCTCGGGTTGGTCTTAAATTAAAGAGAAAACTCAGCATTGTGATATAGCAGAGCCTGATTTTTGATTTTCATTTCAGTTTTGCTATAAAAAAAAGTAGTCCGTAAAAACTAGTCCACAGCTTTTCAGGTGTTCAAAGTAAAACGTTTGGGAAACAATAAGAAACAAAAATTTTAAAAATCAACCTCTGCTATGTCATAGCGCCGAGTTTCCTCTTTAACTCAAGACCAACTCGAGATTTCTAGAGGTTAAAACTGAGAAATCTTGTAAATGGCAAGACCTACTTTTTGTCGGTTGTGTCTAGAATAATTCTGAGAAAATTAAACATTTCGAGTTCAAATTTTTACTGTGAACGTACCTTGATCGGGCTAATATTCACTGTAAATTTGGTTAAGATCGAACATTTTTTTCGAAACAGACTTTTAAGGAGAGTAGACGTGTTCATGAAGTGATAGATTTCTTTTTCTCAACATTGAATTGGATAGAAAATCAAATTGTTTGATTTTTTATTCGAACTTTGTTCTTACAAATCGAATATTAAACATCGTACTGAAAAAACGTAGGAGGAGGAGAAGGAACGAAATAGAAAAAAACAGAAAGATATATAAAAAATTCTGTGTCTTATAAATGTGCGTGTAATGTGACGTGAGACAAAAAAAAACGAACCGCTTATACAAAACAAACAAACCAGCAAAACGAAAAACAAAAAAAAAATGTATCAAATCCAAAACAAAAAACTGACAAGTCATTTTTTCAACTAGGAAAAAAACACACAAGCAAAGCAATCATCCACAAAAGTACCCCGGTTCTTGCGTGTGTGTGTGCGTATCGAGAGAAAGAGAGGAATATAAACCATAAACGTTCTTCTTTTTCTCAAAATAGAGATCTACCTAAGAGAGGAACAAAAAATCAGCAGAAGAAAGAGCAACACAAAAAATCCATAAACATCATGTACAAATACTGTATACTGTAGATGAAAAGAAGCATTGAAGACGAAGGAGAAAAAAACTCTGTCAAGAAATAACAACAACAATAACAAACGAAGAAAAAGATACCGGTAGAAAACACAATTTAGAAGATCTTTATATCTCACTATACCAAACGAAAAAACTGTGAAAAACAATAGAAGAACCAAAGTAAAAAATATATCTGATGGCGGTCTGACACATATTAGAACAAGAGAATTGATGTTGAACAAAATAAATAGGATAAAGAACAAGAACTATGTTGAAAAAAAACTTTAATTTAGAAATGAAAAACATATCGGAACAGAAAATATCCAAAAAACAAACCTATTTTTATAACAAAAAGTGCAGCATTCATAGACAAGAAGAAAAGTGGAAACAAAACGAATTGATTTATACTCCTCTCAATCAAAAGACAACCGCACACACACACACACATATGTCGAGCATAAAGCTTGAAGAAAAACACACATAGGGTAAAAAACAAAGAAGTTCCAGTATTACTTTGTTCAGATGGAACTACTAAAAACACACAGAAAAACCACGTACACAAAGAAAAAAGGTTTCTTTTTTGTAAGAAACACAGACAACTACAGGTTGTTTATTAAGCAACGATTAAATATCACCACACAAGAAAAAAAATATGAATGTACATACTCGCGCAGGGGAGAGAGAAATAGGGGAAAATGCTCACTAATAGTAGATTTAAGTTTTAGGTTTGCGTTTTCTATCGTCAGTTTAACGAGAGTAATTAGCTGTGTCAACAGCTCGATCATATTGCCCCGATCCTGCTAGTTGTGCCGTAGCCCAAGCAGCTTGAGAGTAATCGTATGCGGGAGCAGTGCCTGCATTTGGATGATAGAATGGTGCTGTCGAACTTGTTGGATCATACGCATTTGCATAAGATGTTGGATGAGGAATTGAACCACCATTAGCACCTGTTAAACCACTTTGGGGTGGAGCTGTTGAGCCTAAAACGAAGATAAAACGATACGATCAACAACTAACAGTTACTGATTTATTTTGGTCAAGAAATGAAAATTTTAATCGATTTAGTTTTTTCTTTTGATATACAAACAGCAATAAACCTACTCGATTTATTTGCTAGATCACGGATAGATATCATACTTACCAAAATTCCACCCTCCATATGAAAACGCGGTTGATGTCGTATTTCCATTGTATTGTTGCTGTGGATTCGTGTTGTTTGTTTGACCTGATGGCCCCGTTGATGGAGCACGACCACTTGTTAAAATTGCACCAGGAGTTTGACCATATGAGTTTGCTTGAGGCGGAGGCCCAGTTACTTGCCAATTAGTATTTGATGCCGTTGCTGATGGGTTCGAATTATAATAACGAGGATCTGAAAATATAAAAAAAATATGATATTATTTTTATCCGGAAACTAAATACGAAAGCATTGAACAATGAGAAACTTGCTCGAATGCAAAGAATAGTTTAGGGTTTCACACAGTGGCCGAAAGTTCGATTTCAATCTGTCTTGAGAGACTTGATAAAGGCTCTTATTTCTCGGACAATGAACATCGATAATCGCGTTTAAGATACGTACCATAGTTTGTACTTGGCCATTGTGCTGGTGATATTTGTGACCAGTTATGCTGTTGTAAACTTTGAGCATTATTTGACTGCAATTGATGTTGGGGCTGACCTCGACTGTTTTGTGATCGTTGTTGTGACATATTTTGTTGTTGAGGATTATTCGAAACTTGTTGTCCCGGACCACTAGCAACCGCTCCCCAGGTTGGAAATCCATGCTAAAATATTCAAATAGAGCATAATTTGATAAAAGGTATATTTATTATATGAAATGTTAATATCCTATAAAAAAAACATTTCCTACCTGTGCTAAAGCTTGCTGATATTGTTGTTGCTGTTGAAGTTGATGAGATGAAGATTGTTGAGGTCCACCTCGTTGTTGATAGGAGAAGGTATTTAAATATGATTGTTGTTGCTGTGCCTGTTGTTGCTGTTGATTATTGGAATTGTTATTCTCCATATTTTTGGGATTTGCTCGTTTACAATCAACCTAAAACGAAACAATAACAGCCATTTAATTCAATCTTATTGACAATAGTAAGTGAGAATGTACTACTACTTTACTAATGCTATTTAGCAAAGATTATTATCTCCCTGCTAAATGATTTCTCCACACAGCCTAAACCTTATGTATATTACTTAAATCTTATAGACAGCCAACAATTCTCACAACCAATGTGAAATAAAAAGAATCTTTCTTAATTGTAAAAAAGCTCGCCTTACCTGTTTTCCACCAATCGTATGTCGTTGTTGCTGTAGAACATCCTCGGCGCTTTGTTCATTTTCAAATAGAATAAAACAGAATGGGCGACGTTTTTGTTTAATTTTATCCATGGGTGCTTCAATTTGAGCAATCTAAGACAGCAAATCAGTTATAAAAGTAGTCTGTTCGATACATACACTTTCTCTTTTTAAAGTTACCTTTCCAAATTTTGAAAAATAATCATGTAATTCATTATCCGATACTTCTGTGTCCAATCCACCAACAAATACTTTTCGAGCTAATGCTTGATCGCGTCTATGAGCCGATTTGGGATCAACGCGTTTTCCTCGTATCACATGTATATCATGAGAGTATACCTAGAATACAATAAACAGACATTCAAATAATAGAAAAAAGGAAAATATTTTTATGCTTACCTTATCTGTTGTATCGCGATCTTCGAAAAGCACAAATCCAAAACCTTTGGATCGACCGGATTTGTCATATTTGACCGTCGCACTTTCAACAATGCCAAACTTAGAAAAATATTCGCATAAATCCTCTAGAAAAGAAAAAATCAAAAACGGTTTGATGAGAATAAGAATGATAAAATTTGGATAAATAAATAAACTTACCCATTTTTGTATCCGGACTAAGACCACCAACAAAAACTTTACGTGTACTGAAAATAAATAAACAGCAAAACATGAAAGTACATAATAAGATATGATTTAACACGTACTTCACCATATCATTTGTGGCATTCTCGACTCCACCTGCTGCTCGTTTCGTGCTTCCATTATTATTGTTATTACTGTTGTTATTATTGTACGAATAGTGTTTCGTTGTTCCAGATCGTAACCCACCTGTGCCACCGCCGCTAGCCGTAGCACTATTATTTAAATATTTCGATGGTCCTCCTGCATACTGCTGCTGTTGTTGAGACGACTGCTGTTGTGATGTAGGTTGTTGCTGCTGTTTGTATAACATTTGCATAGGACTATCGAAATTATTCGTTATATCATTACCATTAGTTCGAACAGGTTTAAAATTTGATGTATTATCAAGTACCCCTCCGGTTGACATTTTACGTGCGTATAAGTGATAAACAAAAACAGATAAAAAATGAATGAACAAAAAAAAGACTTTTTATTTTCAAAAAGACAAACAAATAATAATGATGGCTACAACGAGTTATATAAAAACTAATATATATATGTATATCTTTTTTTACGAAAAAAAAACGATACAATAATATAGTATACACAGATTTTACTAACTACAACTACACCAGGAAATGTGAGCAAGTGAACAAAAAAAAAGTAGAAGAGAAGAAGAAAAAATGGATAAAATTTACTTGCCCTAATATATACAACATAATTCAGCAGCAGCAGTGAAACAAACATAAAAACACAATTACAGCGGTCCGATCTCAACCAGTCATAGACCTAAGAGTTGCCTTATCCGTGAGAAAACATGAGATATGATCAAAAAAAAAGATATGTGAAGGTGGATACACTGTTCCAAAATTTTTCATAAACTAAAATATACGCTGCTAAACTCTAGTCATGAAAAAATTTTCAATTATAATAATAAAGCGTTAATGCATGTTAGCTGACGAGACTAAGTGAATCTAAAACTAACAGTTTTCTTTTGACCATTAAAGTAAATGCAACTAAAATTTCCAAGTTGTAGTCAACGAAACAGATAATGTTTAAAGCTATTTCTCAACAACGTTGAAGAAGATATTCCACTAATGACTGTTACTGGACACTGGCTGCATGTCTGTATCTATTTCATTTTTTGAGTAGCGAAATAACAACTTCATTTTGAGAATGAACAGATACATATTAACAACGTAACACTCGTCTGCACTCGCTCGATCCCTTGACTTTAGGAACTTATACCTGCGAACGAACCTCCACCACTTCTGAATACACGACAACGCTCACGCCTACCTTCGGTCGGCGTTCGCTAGGGCACTATCTAAAATATGTTCTAAATTTTTCTTTGATTTGTTGTATAAGGTTCGTAATCTCATGAAAATGTAACAGGTTTCCTCGAGATCCCGCTAAGGTCTCCAGAGGTCTGAAAATATTTCTGAATTCAAAACATTGCTCTCGCCTCCCTTCGGTCGGCGTTCGCAGCCAGTATAGATGAGAAACGCTGTGAACTTCTCTGATTCCACGAAAAAAACGTCTGATGTAATATGAAGCCAAAAGATTTTCTGGACACCCTCTGCAGATCCCAAGGAGGTTGAAACTATATCTAACCGATTTGCTATTATAGATTATCTGTACACTGTAAGTATTATTATCCGTATACGACTTTTTTCGTTTTTATCACCGTTGAATGCTGTCTCACGGCATCTATCCCCGGCCTACAGAAAACGTTTGCTTAGATTTTTTCTCTCTGCATGAGTAGAGATGTCACATTATTTCTTTGAATATTTTGTCTCGCATGGTTAAAAAGAAATTTTTTATGCTTCTGGCTTATCCATAGAATATCTGACAGCCATTTTTCCGTATTTTGCGCACACAAACACAGAGCCTCTGTGTTTTTAACATTACGCGTACGCCTTTGTTTCAAAGCGTACGGTACGCGAACTAAATTGAAAATACGCTTTGTATCAACTAATAGGAAAAGATAGAACGATAGAATCCATGAATTACCATGCTTATGTACGCGCTGCTCAAAATCCTCATTAGAAACCCTGACACAGACAACCATTTTGTAAGACCCTAGGCTAAAGTCAAGGGAAAAATGATATAACAAAATCCTCGAAATGTTATTCCTTAGGAATTAGCTCTCGAAAGTTACTACAATACGAGAATTACTCCTTTTTCAAGTGTTAGACTTCTAGTGAATAGATATTCAAACAGAAAATTTGCGTTCTATTTCACAGTTTCAAGTATGTCAATTGACATTGAAAAACCTTCTAAAACATTACACCAAAAAATTAACATACACGAACGTAAAGATTATGGAATAAATCTAGAACCATTTATTTCACAAGAACCCGATTGTCTATAATGATATAAGAGCAGAAATTTCTCTGTTTTTCTGCTTAAAGAATAAAATCAGAAAAGAACAAATTTTATATTTTCATCAAATGTTCATCTTTTATATATTCAAGGAGGGAGTGTTCACTGTAAAACTATTTCGTATTGTACCAACTTCGCGAACTACAATTACACTAATTAGAGAAGATACATTTCCTATTTTTATACTAGTTTAAAGTACACGAGTTGTACACGATACTGATCTATTTGTTAGAAAAGGATCCGTTTTAGTTTTTGAGAAATGTGGCTGTGAATATCGTTGATTATTCTATAAAAAACCAAGTTTGCAAGACAAGCAAAAGAAGTCTCTGCAAATCGAGCAAGAAAAAGCCTGGTTTTTTATAGAATAATCAACGATATTCACAGTCACATTTCTCAAAGACTAAAACGGATCCTTTTCTAACAGATAGCTCAGTATCGTGTACTTTAAATTAGTATCGTGTACTTTAAATTAGTATCAAAAATTTTAAAAATTTACTAATAATATATCAAGAAATCTAGACAGTGAGGCAATACTGTGTCATTGTATAATTCAAGTCAAAGTTCATGTACTTTGACGAGTCAGTGAGAGAGAAAAGTTTGAAACCTGTCAATCTTTTGCCATTGTTATATACTCCTTTAGCCATCAAACCAAGTAGGTGAATAACTTTGAAACGGCGTACCGAGCGGTATTCTTCGCTCCGATATGTGGAGAATACCGCCCGGTTAGCGCCGATATACCGAGCGGTTCCAGATTATACGGCGGTGACCGACAGTATTAAATAAAAATATTGGACATGGCTAGTCCATTGATGTGGAAGAAATAACATTAAACTCCTACAAAAAATATGTGATCTAATATCCATTCACATTATTCACGTTTTGATTGAGCACCATCTGATATGTTCATTTTATAATCATTAAACATTTCAGAGTAAAAAAACTCTGACACTTCATGTCAGATTGAAGTTGACACTTTTCAAACAAAACAAGAATGATTCGCCTATACAATCATATTTTTTTTCGTTAAGTCATTGCGCCGTAAATCGGTATTAAACATTAATTTCTTCTATTCATATAGCTGCAAGAAACATCTTGCTTTGTATTCTTTAAACTAGTTTTATCCAGAAATGTGTATACAAAATAAATAGACACATTTCCTACAAAGAAAAATCAAAGACACACAAGCAATAACAAAAATGTGTTTATAAGAAGGCAGAACAACGAAGTATACAACTGTTTTTGAAAAACCATCCACATGCACACACAATTTCTCTAAAAAATGAAATAAATAAGCTTAAGATAAAATTAAAATCATACTTTGAGCTACAGTCTAATAAAGCAAAAAAATAAAATCAATTAAGTTTGTAAAATAAACTCCTTATAACATACTGTAAACATACACCTGTATCATATGCAAAGTTATCAAAGTTTAGAAATCAATGACAAGTTACATTTGAAAAGATCAAAAAATGAGAAGAATATGAGAAGTTGAAAGGAAAACATACACTAGAAACCCCCAATTTCATTACAATACACTGGTACTTCCTAAAACAGAGTTCTAAAATTCGCACTGTATATTCAGTAATATACAACTCAAAGACTTTCAGATCAGCTATTACCACTCTGATGAGTTAGTATTAGTTAAATTTAATGTCATATCATAACCAGTGTTATAAGATTCTCTCTATCTGCTATTTCATACAACAAACTGTTATTGCCACTTATGATACTAAGAAAGGTAGTAAAATAATCGTGAAACGATAACAATACAATGAGTATACAAATAAGAAAGATATATCTTTTGAAGAAAAACTAGATACAAGTATAATTCAAATAAAGCTAAAACTAAGAAAAAAAAACAATTTCAATGTAAGCAAAAAACAAAACATTTCAGATCACATACGCGGACATAAAAGGGAAGGCGATATTTACAAAATAATAATAAGTGCACATTCAACTATGTGTCACTTCTCTTTTTAGAAGAACCACCACTAATGGATGGTGGTGGCGTAGTTTGTTGTCTTCTTAATTCTTGTAATCTTCTTGCAGCCAGTGTCGGCGTCGTCGACGTTACAGGTGAATCGATATTTTTAACACTCTGTGATACAAGAGTGGACAGTGTCGATGCTAGGGGAGCATTTTGCAACAAATGTGCACGTTCACTTTCACTTAAATTTAAATTTTCATGTTGTAATGACATTGTGCGATCTCTCTCAGCATCACGTTGATCAGGATTATCTGCTTTTTCTAATTCTTGTTGTAGCAAATCAACTGTTTCTCCATCACTATTCAACATTGTTCCACCATTGGCAACTTGTTTTGTTTCAAAATATGTTGCACGAACAGCAGCTAACCAATGTACACGACGAATACGTAAAATTTGTACATCTTCACAAACACGAACACTAAAATCGGGTATATATGGGCGAGAACTTTTTGATTTTAAACGAATTAAATCATCAACTTTTTCTTCGGGATCTAAATAAATCACAGGAGAAAATAATAAACCCTATAATAGCACTTACTTTATAATATCGTAATTTCTCACTTACTATAGAGTGCGCTAACACCAAAATACGAAAATGCGCCGACTTGTGAAACAATTTTTTCTTTTCCGGTTTCTAGTTGAGCACTTCCATTAACAATCAACACAAAAAAATCCACTGGTTTTCCATATTCATATATAAACTGTGGTTTTCCATCTTTAGCTTCATCTTCATCATCAAATTCAAATTCTTTATATAAATCGACGTTCAATAATCGACTCAAAATACCTGGTGAGATAAATTGTGAACTAAACGGATCCACACCTGAAAAAAAATAGAATAATTAGTCAAATGTTATCTTACACATCAGTTGAACTCTTAATTACTTGTGGATAAAAACTGAAATACAGCCACTTTCATTGAAGCAGATATTTTACTTTGAATTAAATTTGTATTCGTACGAACAAATGCAGAAAAATCTGGCGCTTGTGATAACATATTTCGAACTTTACGTCGATTATCAGTAAAAACATCTGTTTCATCAATAATTTCTTCTTGTATCATTTCTTCGATAATATCTTCTAATGTGACGATTCCAACAGCACGTGTTTTTGGATCTTTTTCACCGCTATTATCATATTCGATAATAACAGCCAGATGATATTGTTCTAAATAAGAATAGAAAAAAAAATTGCAAAAATTATCTAAGAATATTAGTATACTATACTACAAACCTTTTTTAAATTGATTAAATATATCATAACTTGACTCGTCGGGAGTTGCTGTTCCGTAACGATGTTTATAAAAATCCATTAATTTTCTTACTGTAAATTTGCCACTTTCTGTATCTAGCAGAGCAAAATCTCGGATGTTAACAAGACCAATAATGTTCTCTCTAGAAAATAAATGATATATTAATTAATTTATCATTAGATAGTATCGTTCTATACAAACATTCCTATATCTCTTAGAATAAAAACGTCTCTACAACACTAGTATCCATCCTTAATCTGCTAATCATCGAAGAATTTCTCTCCTATTTTTTTGTTATTAAATATATATATATATATATGTACTAATAAATAGAGATCTGTACGGGTCAAGTCGAGCCATGACAAACATGTTGAGACAACAATATATAGAAAGAAAACAACTAATCTATATATGAAATAGGATTAGACACCAAAAAATTGCTCTAATGGAATGTCTTGTTACTTGTGCAATTTGAATTTGTTCACAAAAACGTTTATTAGGCAATGAGATTGCCTGGCTAAAATCTATTCCCAGCGACAGCGTTATCGATTCCTCGTTTGGATACAGTTACTCAAAAAATTTTGACTTACTCAAATTTTTTAAGAAATTCAAGTTGAGAAACTGTCTTTTATGCACCTGAGTAAGTGATTTTCTCTAGCTTCTGAGTAACTGAGTTACTCAGAAAAAACTTTTACTCAATAAAAATAACTTTAGTTACTCAGCAGGCTCGCCACCTCCCACCAAAACTAGTGTCGAAAACACTGGCCAGCGAGAATGGTTATTAGATTAGTACAGCGAGTCATTGAACTCACATTTCAAAGGCACTCAGACATATTGTCGGCGGTTTAAAACCGGTTGACAAATCCAAAGATAAATTTGAGACAAATATTTGTTTCTATTATTTGGAAAGTGAATAAAAAATATTCGCTTCGAAGTTAAAACGAATTCTGATCAAATTGGACATTACTAACGTAGGACTTGAATTTCGAACGTATCAAACACTGAACTTCTCATATACTCATATACAAGGAAGAGATTATAGAAAAGTTGATGTAATCTATTGTATTGAATACAAAGACTGTGTCAACATTTATGTTGGATAAATGGAGAGTAAGAGAAGAAGCATCAGAATGACTCAACATGAGAAAAAAGTAGACAGTAATTATTTGTTTTTAAAAGTATCTTTACATATCAATCAAAACAATCGCACATTAAATCTAGACAAGTCATGTATATATTGGAATACCAGAAAAATGAAATTAAAAGTTTGATAAAAGAGACACTACTTTCCCTTCGTAATTCAACTGTCATATTAGTCTGACGATGCCAATGTGAAGTATCGAAAGCTCGTTTTTTATGTAAAATAATTTTATGAAAATGTTTTTCAATTATATTAAAATATACTTAAAAACGTAATAATATCAATATATGTTTATCAGCTGTTCATATTCACTTAAAAAAAAGATAAAGCTCAAGCTTACCTTCTTCCTTCAAAAACGGGAATTCTCGAGTAACCATATCCGTGCACATTCAATATTAAGTCATCATCGACAATTCGATTTGCTTCTAACATAAATACATCGATTAAATTTGTCATTACATCTTTAATTTTTCGATTTTTTAAACTTAATACACCCGTCATTATTGTTTTTTCACGATCTTCGATATCTGTTGTCTTTGTATGTTTTAACAGTGCACTCATTTGATCACGAGTATAACGCGCACCAACTTCTTCGCCTAAATATAATATGAATAATTATCGAAAAGAGGCTAAGATAAGAGTGATAATTCTTAACCGTTACCTAAAACGACATCTAATAATTTACTTAATGGAAATGCAATTGGAAATGTGAGTAGCATAAAAAGTTTTGTTAACCATATTGTTTGACTTCCCACTTTTAGACCATGTCGAGAACATATAGCTTGGGGGATAATTTCACCAAATATTACAATAGCTAACGTGGCTCCTGCAATAGCTAATGGTCCACTAATTAGAAAATCTAAGAGTATTGTTGTTGTTGAATTCACTAATACATTGCCCAGTAATATTGTGCATAATAAAAAATTACCACGTTTTCTAACAGGTAATATACGCTTGGCATATTTTTTATCGTTTGCTAAACCGGCCTCTTGTATAACGGTTAAATCATGCGGTGTAAGAGACATCAAACCAAGATTAAGTCCCGAAAATAAGCCGGATAATGATAATAATACGAGAAGGCAACAAATTGTTGCCCATATAGGAAATGCACGTTTTGTTACAAAAAGTTTCAACGATGGGCGAGCACCTTGAAGAGAAAACAATGTATAACTGTAGCTCGATCCATTATCCATCCGAGAAAAGAATAACCCATGGCTATTCGAGTTTTTGTAATAAGTCGAAAACAGAAAGAGCAAGAGAAGTGGAGTTCTCAGATATCGAAAGAGCAACTTATGGAACATGTTTTATAGGAGGAAGGAACTTCAAAACGTTTTTCCAAAGCGGTTTTTTGAGAGCATCTCTGGAAAATCTCGTGCATAACGGAAAAATTTAAAATACTAAACCATTGATATTTTTACATTAGTAAATAGAAGAAAGTGGCGTTTTCAAAATGGAAACTAAGCAACCTCTGAATGTTTCATTTTTGACGTGTGGCATCGGATTTGCTGGGAGCCCTAATTCTCTTAGGTATGGTAATCCCGAAAGTGAATTAAAACATAGGTTATCGGCCACGCTAAATCGCGTGGCAAT